AGACTTACACTACTTCCTATTTTTTATTTGTTCCCTTCCTTTTTTGTCTGTTCCTTTCTTCTCCCTTTTCTTTTTTTCCATTTTCTTTCTTTCTTTCTGACCATTTTTATTTCAGTAATTTATCATCCTTGACTGATTTGAAAATCCTTGTAAATTATCTCAATATACATACACACACACACACACACACATATATATATATATATATATATATATATATATATATATATATATATAATTTAGTGAGCCAGACAAACCTACCTAGGTTTCACCTAAACGGATCGTCAAGGAAAGCTTTTGAAAACGAGTCTAGTTATCTATATATATATATATATATATATATATATATATATATATATATATATATATATATATACACACACATACATACATATATATAGTGGTTTGCCAACTCATGTCTGAGTACGGCCCTTACACATATCTTTTTGGAGAAAATCTACTAATATGATGAATGAATGTAGCTCTTTTGCTCAATACAACATCATGATGTCATTTTCCACTTTGAATTTAGACACCTCAACCTTACCCTGACTTGACCTCTTTGAATGTAACTGAGATATTGATACAAATTATTAACCCTTATGCCCCTTTTTTTAAAATAATTACTCTAGCCGTTACCATAGTAATTTTAATTTTAATAATGAATATGATTATAAAACGCGTAAATTTCAAGAATTAGTTATTAAAAAAAAATTTTGCTTGAAGATGGAACAGAGCTTGGTACTTTAATTCAGTTTAATTCAAATAATTATATTGAAGTTTTCGGCTCTTGTTTTGAAACATGAGAACTCTTATGTAGCGATGGAATCATATTTTTAAATAAATAATTATATATATATATATGTGTGTGTGTGTGTGTGTGTATGCACGTCCATACATATATCCTCAGAGGATGAAACGTGTCAGCTATGATAAGTTTTGCTTTGGTTTTTATTCAACTAATATATAGTGGTCACAGTCAAAATTGTTAATAGCTTTGAACCACCCATTAGTAAGTCATGAGCTGTACATCATGATGTACAGATCAGCAGGTTGTAGGAGAGAGTTTTCACAGGTGAAAGTGAAGGGCTGATTAATTAGTTTGCCATGACAGAAATTGCCTACCTATTCCTCAGACCATGCCAAATGAATCCCTGAATAAAAAACACAGAATTCGGGAGTTTTTTTTCACCATGGCATAAACTTTGCTTTAATTTCACTTTATCTCTCCTTGTGAATTCACTCCAGGGTTCTCCACTCTTTTTTTTTTTTGTACACAATGATGGGGATGAAATCACAACAATGTGGAGCAATTTAACCACTTAGTAAAAGACTAGGAGATGGCCCCTGGGTATGTTTACCGTTTAATTTAGAAATTGTCCTCTTGTTGTTAATTTCTCAATTGTTGATTTGATAGATCAGTCCTCTGAAATTGATGCCGAAATGTACTAGGTGTAGGGTCAGATATATGTTGTAGGTGGTATATTGGCCTGTAAGAAGATATTCAATAATGGAATACAACAACAAATATGTTATGAATAGACATTATTAGGTCATCAGATAACTCAACTGGGATTCGCTGTGGTAATCTGCTTTTATAGAAGTATCTCATTTACATACAATGCTATACCTACCTGAACTGAAATGGCCTTATGCCCTTCTTTGACTTCTAATTATTTTTGGGAATCTAAACTGTCTTTCTTGGTGTGTATCTTGATTTCTTCTTATAGGGGACCTAGATCTGAGTTCATTTTCCTCTTTTGACTCTTTTAGATTTCTGGCCATTATCATCCAAAGATTGTTTACTTTCACTACTGGATTCATTAGTCCCCTTCACCTTCAGATTCTTCATCCATTTCTATATCCTAGGTTCCATTCTGCTCCTCAATTGATCCGCATGGGCCAGTACATTTTGTTAATTTTTGTTAGTATTGCTGTGTTGTGTCCTTTCTGTACTACAATGTTCACTTTAGATTCTTTGTCATTTTTATATCATACACTTTCACTTATTGAAAATGACATTCTTATGGGAATTCTAATCTGTCTACCCATTAATGTGGAGGGACTTTGTTGTCTACTGGCATGTGGAATTGTCCTATAACTTAATAGTAATCCTGGTAAGTAACTCTCTATATACTATCATTAGATGTGGAAAATGCTTTTAGTCCCATTTTCATAGTTTGTACCATTCTTTCTGCAATTCTGTTTGATTGTGGATGGGCAGGTGATGTTTTATACAGGATGCATCCAATACACTTTAGCCACAAACACAAACTTTCTTTTCTGGCATGTTATCTGAGTCCAAAGTTTTAGGTACACCATTCCTTGAAAATATTGTTCTTAATATTTGTATTATAGTGGTGGCTTTTCTGTCAGCAACCTTAATTACTATGGGCCATACTGAAAATGAAACCACTAAAATTAAAAATAACTCCATTACAGTCTTCTACATCTTGAGAAAATCCTGACCAACATGCTTGAATTTTAATATCATTTGTGTTGTTGTTATACCACAATGTACATCATCATATACACCTTTTAGTACTTCTTTTCTTAAACTTTGAGGGGTACTATAATATCTCCATTGCAGTCTGTCTGAAATTCTACTTAACATTGGATCTTAATGGTTTCCATTCTGAGATGATTTAGGGGTAACATGTCCATTTCAACCCAGTGCAGTATTTTATTTTCTGATTTGTCAGATGTTTCTAATTTTTTACTGTCGAAATTTAGTCTAGATAGCACATCCATGTGTGGAATAGTGTTCCCCTTTACATATATGATCTTGAAATCAAGGGCTGTGAGTTTTATAGTCCATCTTAAAATTCTAGATGTGACTTTTGGTAATTCCTTTTTGGAGTTAAGTATAAAGTCTAAAGTTTTGTGATCTGACTTTAACAAAAAAATTTCATCCTAACAAAAAGTTCCAAGCTCTTTCTGTGTTATTGCTAATGCTTTTTTCTCAATATTTGAGTAGTTAGCTTCAGCTGACAATAATTTTCTCTACAGATGACCTTCTTGAGATAAAATTGCAACTACAGCATGTTGAACTTGAATCCATAGTCAATGTCACTTCTTTTTTTTTTTTAATCAAAATAGTTAGATCACTGTATCTAGGTAGATATTTGCTATAAAAATTGGTCAATCCCAAATAGGATTCTAATTTGTTTTTATTTTTTGGTGTAGATACTTCTGATATTTTATTTATCAGTTTATTGTCTGGTGAAATTCGTTCTTTAGATATTTCATATCCCAAATACAATATTTTGTTGCAGTTTAACTCATATTTATTGCTATTTATTGTCATATCACCATTTTTTAATTTGTTTAAAACTTCTTCAGGTATTTTTTTATTCCTCTTTACTTATATCATCTTGATATATGATTATATTTTTTGCCCCATCCAATAGAACATTTTCAATTGCCTTTTGAAAAACATGGCTTGAAATCTTTACTCCAAATGGAAAAGAGGCCATCGTAGTAAGCCTATCAGGGTATTAATTGTAGTGACTTCTTTAAATTTTATGTCAATTTATATTTGGTTATATGCCAATTTTAGGTCAATCTTGGCAAAGTATTTAATTCCTGCTAATTCATGACTTGACATTTCTATGTTAGGTAAGGGGAATGAATCCGAGCATATTTGATGATTCATACCTACTTTGTAATCCCTGCATATCAAATCACTATTTGGGCTTTGTAGCCCAACGGCTACCAACTTGGGTAACTTATCCCAATATATCTTGTTCTACCATTTTGTTTAGTTTTGCGTTTTAGTAAAATGGGAATAGGTATTTTTCAAGATTTAAAATAGATTGTGTGACTATTTTCTTTTAGACGAATACTCATTCTATATCCTTTTAATAGTCCTATGTTATGTTCTTCTGACTTTACACAGTTTATTAATTTTGCCATATCAACTTATAACGTCTATTCCAAAGAGTCCATAACTTTTTTGCATTCTACAACAGGGATGAGAATAATTTCAAAATGTTTTTTTCTTGAAAAGGAGCCTAGAATTTTGATGACAGATCCTTCAAATTGTTTTAAATTAAGATTATTTTTTCTTAATTTGGGTTTACCCATTTTTTCCCAGAAATTCCTTGGGATCAAGCTAACATCACTCCCTGTGTTAACTTGCATGTGAAAAGTTATGCCATTCAATTTTACTCTCCCTCTACTTTTTGCGGAGTGTTCTTATCGAATGTACTTCTGTATTTTCAGTATGAGGGTTTATATTGTTTTTTACCCTTTCTATTCCCTTTTTGTATCTGCACACAGATTAGAAATGTTTTTTCTTTTTCAGTTTAAACATAATCTTCTTATAGCTGGACATTTGTTTTTGTTTCTTTTCTGTTCTTTGTAGTCACTGGAAAGCATTGTCCTGAAAAAGACAGTTTATTGCATGTCATTGCTACTAGTGAGGATGGCTAGAGCAGTAGGAGCTAGAGGCCTACTGGTGATGGCAAGCTGGAGACTAGAACAGATACTACACTTTGATCCTCTTTTTTTTTATGTTGCTTTGAGGCCTTTATATATCTTGCATCAGTCTTATGATGACGCTGGGTAATATTTTTTCTCCTGATTGTTTTTAAAAGATGGGAGTGCCAGCAGGATACGACATACATTGATATCTTTAATAAAGGTCAAGTAAACTGGTTTAAAAAGCAGTTTAGTCATTTACTATATCAGGTAAAAATAGATCCCTAACTATTAACTCACTGTCACATGTCAGAGATTTGCTATTGAAGTAGACCAAACTTTTTTATATGCATAATTACTTAATTTTATGGAAAATATTTCCACCCTACTCCCAGCCATATTTCAAAAAGATATTTTCTATGTATCAGTTTCTGATTTACTATTTCTTTTATTTTTATTTTTTGCAGGTTGCTGGCATCATTGACTCGAATATTAGAATTTATGAGAATGGAAATTTGTCTGTGAGAATTATACAAGAGGATGGAAAATTAAGCAAAGAAATGTATATGGGTAACATCATGCTTGTCAATAAAAGTTCAATTGTAATCATCTTTGGCAGAGAGTAAGTCTTACACTTTTTGTGTTTTTTTTTTTTCTCCCTCTTGTCCACTTTCTCGCTCTCTTCTTCTCTTTCTACTATTTCATTCCCTTCTTCACTTTATCTTGAAAGATCCTTCTATTGTTTCATCCTTGAAACTGAAGCTCACTCTATCTGTACCTCTGTAAGTCTATAAAGGTCATATTTAATAGAAATAAGGAAGGAAGCTTTTCTGAATATTTTCCATGAAAATAGTGAGAGCAAAACTGGCAGCTCAAAAACGACATCCAATCAGGTGTTAACTGGAGCAAGAAATGGCTTGTAAATTTTAATGCCTCAAAAACAAAATTGCTATACTTTAACCATTTTTGCTCCCCATCATGTCTAATGCTAACCTCCAGAAGAGCAACTCATTGCATCTTCTTTGTTTCACATTTTCTACAGACATGATGTGGAGCAATTATATTAATTCAATTGCTAGGTTTGCTGCTAAGAAGGTTTTTCCCATTGGAATTTATCTTGCACATTTATAAATCTACCAATTGTCTATGCATTGAATATTGCTACCATATCTGGTCTGGTGCTCCTGCTATATATCTTGAGATTCTTGACAAAATTCAAAGAGTCTGCAATGTGGTCGATCTTGACCTGGTGTTTTGACATCAGTCACTTTCTCACCAATGTGATGTGTCTTCTCTCTGTCTTTTCTATAAATATTCTCATGGCAGTTGTTCTGATGAGCTCTCTTTCTTGGCACCTTGACTGTGTGAATTTAAGCATAGATTGGCTACTAGGTCTCGTCACTTTAAATAGTTGAAATAGATGCAACTGTCTGTTCTATTCTAACAGATTATTTTCTCACACTTCTCACTTGTGGAACTCTTCTGACTTTTTGCTTCCTTGCCACCTACAATCTTCAAAAATTTAAATGAATGTCAATTGCCATTGTCTGTCTTTTTGAACCCTGTTCTTTTATTGTCCTTTCTCCTTACTACAGTCTTCTCATTCTCTTCCACTCCCAGTAAATCATTGTGTCTTCATGTCATTAATGCCTTCCTTGGGATGAAATGATTAAAGAAAAAAAATTTCAGATTAGCTTGATTCTTTAGTTCCACCTGCTTAGACCTCAACTCTTAGGACATGCGATGTTACTTCCATGGAATTGAATCACCCTTATTTCTTCCATATTCCAAATACAAAGAGAAAAATTTCTCTCAGATAGCTTTTCCCCACAAACTGCTACTTTGTGTAACAGAATATTGTGTGGGTGTTTCCCTAAACACTACAATCTTAACCTCTTCAAATCAAAAGTAAATCATTATCTATCCTCATAATCTTCATTTCCTACCACTTCCTTTTTGATTTATATCATGATGCATTTATCTTAACTGTTTTAACAGTAACTCTACCATGAGCTGCTCTCGAGCCTTGTATTAGATGAACTTTAGCAAAAAAGTTTTGTTACCAAACTGCATGAAATATAAACCTGATGCCTTTTAAATACCAAAAATTATTTATATGTAAATTATTTAAATATTTATGAAAATTAATGATTCTAATTATAAAATTTAATAGTTTGTGAGAATGATTCCAATTATAAAAATGAAACATTAATGTAAATTAATAGTTTCAATCACTGAATAAAAAAACTGTTTCATTTTTATTGTTTAACTTTTATTTATAAATGTAATAACTATTTTAGGACAAATTTCAATTTTGCTATATTTAGCATATGGAATATATATGCAAATGAAACAACTATTTTCTCACAGAGGTAGTAAATATTCTTTTTAATAATTATAAATCCTATAAAATTTGATTCATGAATAATCATTCAAAAGATTTTTTCATTGGCTACATTTATTTATGAATATTACTACATCTGTGTCAATGATTTTTACATTCCTTTATTTTTCTTTTGATTATTGGCAACATTTATTAAAGGTTATGTTTATACATCATTATGATAACTTTGTGCTGTTGTGTTTAAACCTGATAGGCCCTAATATTTTTTTTCTTTTTTAAATATATGGCAATAGTGAAAATAGCTGTTTTCTTGTATGAAAACATTCGGTATTCATTCCTGTTGAAATTTATGCAACCTTGCTGTCAAAACAATTTCGCAGGAAAATAGGTTTCTCAAGTTCACTGTTATTGCTAGTTTTAGCATTGATAGGAGTTTCCTTCCAAACCTTTTGTTTCAAATAGTGCGGAAAGTACAAGATATCATAAAGTGAAATGTTCAAAGCTAAGCAAAAACTGAAATTTAAAAAATTTCACTTGCTGGGTTTTTATATTTTAGATTGTAATCTTACGATGTACAATAATGGATCATATGCAATATAGGTGACCAATTCAAATAGAAAAATTGAAAATTAAATACAATGTATCTAAATACAAATTAGAGACATGTCATAATAAATCATCCCATCTTAAATAAATCAACATTTTCTGGCAATTTTTAACTTCAATTTGAAATTTTTCGTAGTAAAAAGTTGAATAATTTTAGTGAATTTTATATAGTGTTTTTTTAAGACATAGCATGAACCAAACAAATTCACAGATTTGGACAAAAAAAAAGACTCCAGAACGACATCAAAATCTGTTAAAATTTTCATCCAGTTGTGCTTAATTTAATTTGTAACATATAAATGTAGGTAGAAAAAAACAAATGTTGATAAGATAGTGAAGGTCATAAAGCACTGCCCTGGGCACACAATCAGGCTTGAAAAACCAAGGGTTAATATGCACTGACCATGTACAAATGTAACAACTAATTTGGGACAAATTCATTACTTATTGCATTTACCATATGAAATATATACATAGACAAATGTTAAATGGAAATAATTTCTAAAACAAATGAGCACATGAATAAAAAAAATTACATAAAAATTGGCTACCAAACTGAATAAAATATAACTCTCACACCTTTTTAACTATCAGAAATTATTTACAATAATTAATAACACCTACTGATATACATAAAATTATGTAATTTAACATATGTCAAGGTGAGCAGAATTTTGTCAATAAGAGTGCTCAGTAGATATCTCACTATATATTTTATAAACACTTATTAAATACAGGATTAATAATTGTATAGAAATTTTAAGCTTGAAAATTTAGTTAGCATATTTAATAAGTGTTTGTAAAAATATATACTCTGTTAATGATACAATTATTCTTATCTAATCCTAAGGAGTGTTAACATTGGGAAACCTATAGATAAATATTGTGGACTTTTTTTTTATTGATAATAAAATTTGTTTTTATGCCAATTATTTAAATATTTATGAAAATGAAGGATTCCAATCAATGAATTAATAATTTTACGCTTTCATTGAGTTTCTTTAATTTTTACAAAAGTAACAATTATTTTGGAACACATTTCATATACTAAATGGAACAGATTTAAACTTTACTTGAAAATTAAAATGTAATATAGGCTTAGATATCCTACATATATATTACTTCCCTTAGACATTTTATAATTTATACAAATAAAATATTTATCTGTATTTAGATAAAATTAATTCTTGAACAAAATGAAATGTTTAATTAATCCAGTAGTTCCCAAACTTTTTTCTCTGGGGTGCATTTTTGGAATTAAAATTTAGTCATGCCTCACCAGATTTTATGTGATAAAAAGTAGATTTAAAAATAAAAAAAACAGAGAGGGTTAAAAGAAGATAATTGCAGATTGATAACAATTTCCTCCAATTTGCAGACCCTACTTACTATATTCTTAATACTTGATATAATGCAAAAATGATAAATCGATCAATAATTATTTATAAATATTTATACTGGGACTCATGCATGCAATTGCAAGTAATCCCTAATAATATTTAAAATTTTGAAATCATATTTATTTTTGGTATATAAATTTTCTAAAACTGTTTCTTAGTCTTTGATTGTCTTTCAATCATTCCACCTCAACTGCTATCCTCTTCCGCTGCACCTATGATGTGCACAGCATGGTTTGGGAACCACTGAATTAATCAGTTCCTTTACTCTCATGTTTCTAAGATTGTAGTCTTATTTGTTCAAGCTTTTCATGTGAGCCACTCAGATACCTCTGTCTATTAAGTGACTGTCTTGCTTCATAGGCAAAATAAACTTAAAATGTTTATCAGTGACTAATTAGAATATCAATATTTAATTTGTTATCATAGTATTATTAGATTTTTATAAATTTACAACTAATACCATTAAAGATATTAAAAGATATAGTTTCCATAATTTGTAAGTTTTTCAGCACTACTTATGTAGACAGGTCCACTTGCAAAAAATATGGAGAAATACTTTCAGAAATAATTTTTTTTTTTTTGCATTCACTAGACTGTCCTCAAGCTGTGACATTTGTCAGAATAAATAAAAATTGATTTTTTTTTTATCGCTTTAGAAGTGGGGGTCCTGTTCATATTATTGATAGAATGCAAAATTGAATTTTTATCTGGATTTAGTGTTGTGCATACAAAAACGGACATACTTTTTTTTGCTAAAAAGATTTAAAAAAATAAAGAACAAGCATATATATATATATATATATATATATGTATGTGTGTAAATATTTTTTTTAATTATATATATACACACACATATATATATATATATATATATATATATATATATATATATATATATATATATATATATATTTTTCCAAGAGGATAGAATCCAGTTAGAACTCAATGTCCAGGACAGAGTAAGAATATAATAAAAAGGCTTAAACACTAATATTCCACGGTTATAATTTATTACATTGGAATCATAATTACGATCCAATTCATCAGACCTACAAATTCAAAAAGAAATCGGAAAAAATAACTCTGGGAATAAAATATAAAATTTAGTGAGAGTATATGTATGAGAGTGGGGGATGAATGTTTTGGGGATGTGATGAAAGCTCTAGCGAGGGGTAACAGACGAAAGAAGAACAGGAAGGCCTAAAAGTGAAGGCGGGGATTAAAATTTAACAGAGTTTTAAAGAGAGGAGTTAAATGACAGTTTAAATGAGTGAGATATAGATAAATATGAATTATTTTACGATGCATAATTCATTACTGAATCACTGACCTAAATTAAATTAAAAACGCCACCAGAAATGGGTGTAAACATTTGTGGTGACACTACACACAATAAAAGACGAAATAATCAAAAATTCAGAAGATGAGAGAGAGAGAGAGAGAGAAAAGAAAAGAAAAAAGTGGGGGAAGATGGGGGGGGGCAACTAAAACTGAAGGGCATTTATAAAAGAGCCACTGTGCAATCAAGAAAATTTGACAAAAGTAATATCAACTACAGGTTACAAATTTAATATAAACATATAAAAATTAACGAATATTTAATCTATCAAGGACCTACTATTTCTATGCCTAAAAATACATACATTTATACACACATACACAACAACATATTTATATTTACACGCACATACATACATATATGCGTGTACACCTATAAATATATATATATATATATATATATATATATATATATATATATCCATACACATACCTGCGTATATATACATCAACACACATATGCATACGGACATACACATGTGCACATAAACATATATACATAAAACCTTACACACCTCCATACACTTATATACACACACTCATCTAAATAAATATACAATGTATCTATCTATCTATCCATCTGACTATACATATACACATACACATATGTACACCTATGCATATATACATATGTATACATACATACCTAAACAAACACAGACACACACACATACACACACACACACACATATATATATAAAATTAAAAGGTAAAAGGTAAAAAAATTTTAAAAATTTAAAAAAACCTACATCCATCCATATATACATTTAACATATAAAAATAGATGGGTAGAATTAAGTTAATTTGTACTTAAAAAAAACTACTGAGGAAGAAAACGTTAACAATATTAAAAACCCACAGAGTGATTAACGCGTATCTATTTCTTAAGTTTACATATATACTCCAAAAATATCTATAAAATTAAACCCTCTGAATATGACAGACTCATCACTGACAAAATTACCAGCTCTTATAAGAAAGACAAAGACAATAGCACCTTATCATCTATCAATGAAGACATCTGCAAATTTGCTAACAAATGTGGAGTTGCTGACAGAATGGGCAAATTTAATATGAAAGATACATACATTCTCTTCAAAGATCATAAACTAAACTTTATCAATAGCTTGCAGTCCCATCTAATTAATTCCTCTAAATCTGAGTTGGCGTTAATTTCTAAGAGTATTCTTAAGAAAATAACATCATGTGTCCTGGATAAATATCCAGTTAACCTTTGGAAAGACTCGGCTGTGACAATTAAATGGTTCCAAAAGATCCCCAATAAAAGAAGAGCCACTTTCATCCAATTTGACATCTTGGATTTTTACCCTTCTATTTTGGAGGAACTATTAATTAACAGCCTTAATTTCACTAAAGGATATACCAAAATAATGGAAAACGATCTGGACATTATTTTAGAATCAAGAAGACCAATACTTACATACAATGATGCTACTTGGGTGAAGAAGAATAATGAAAGTTTTGATTCAACTCTGCCCAAATTGCAGATTTAGTGGGCATATATATTTTAGACACCTTGAGTAGAGTAGTTAGCCTTAACCAAGTTGGAATTTATAGAGATGACAGCCTAATCATTGTCCCTAATAGCAATGGTCCCTTGACTTCTAGCTTACATAAGAGGATAATTAGGGCCTTCAAATACCTAGGCCTTAAGATTGAAATATCTTCCAACCTGAAAATAGTCAACTTTTTAGATATCACCCTCAACCTCTCTAATGATACCTTTAAACCCTTCCATAAAGTTGATCAGACACCCCTATACATCAATGTCCACTTTAACCATCGGAAATCTGTAATAGATCACATCCCCAAATCTTCTAGCCAAAAAATCTTTAATGAAAATAAATTTATATACAACCAGGCCCCCCAAAATAATGGTTTTAGACAGGAATTAAACTATAATGAAGAACTGGAAAATCATAATAATAATAGACCTAAAAATAGAAAGAGGAAGGTAATATGGTTTAACCCACCGTATTGCAGGCTTTCTAACATTGATATAGGAAGTTTCTTCCTAAGATTAATAGATAAACATTTTCATAGTAAACATCCACTACATAAAATTTTCAATAGGGAGACACTGAAAATTAGTTATTCATGTGTAAGTAATATGAAGAAAATTATGTCTTCCCACAATTGTAAAATACTTAAGAACTACCATAGTAATGAAACTTGATCTAGTAGCCTCACCTGCAATTGTAGGAGTTGAAACAATTGTCCAATCGGGGGAAAATGTATGTATGAGAATGTAATATATGAAGCAACAATCTTCCCCAAAGAAAATATCAACCAGAGAAAAAGATATATAGGTATATCTGCTGGTTATTTTTTCAGATTTCTTTTTGAATTTGTAGGTCTGATGAATTGGATCGTAATTATGATTCCAATGTAATAAATTATAACCATGGAATATTAGTGTTTAAGCCTTTTTATTATTTATTATTTTCCCACAAAATTTTAAAAATGCAGAAAATGAAAAAAAAAGTAGATGCAGATATCAGTGATGTAAACACAGTTTCAAATTTAACATCTGTAAATAACAACTAGTTCCAATAACTCTGGGAATGACTTTACACTGTATTGGTATTATGAACAGAACCCCCACCCTCTAAATCAATCAAAATCAATATTTTTCAATTCTGACAGATGTTACACCTTACAGAACGTCGATTGAATGCTAATTTACAAAAATTATTTCTTCAACAGTTTCTCCACCCCCACCAGTTTTTTTTTCATGAGTGGACCACTCTATTTGAATAGTACTGGTTTTCCTTCCAGTGTAGAGATTCTAATCAGAAAAATTAACCTTGATTTTGAAAACAAAAGAAAAAAAGGAAAAATTAATAATTTTTAGAAAATATTTAAAATATAAAATGAAAATTACAAACATTAAAAAATATCAACCCATGAATGGCCACCATTGCATTTTTGTTACATAATTTAAATTCCAGCCAAATTTGTTATGTTCAGTTTTGTAGTAATATCTTTGAGAAAAAAATTCAGGAGATTATAATGAATACCAGATTTTTATTAACTATAATTATTATAATACTGGGTCTTTATAAACTTACAACTAATACCATTATTTCTTTTTTTAAAAACCTATAATTAATACCAAATTTTTATTTTCATTTTTATAATTAATACTAGGTATTATGGTGGACATTAGTGGATTAAAGTAAGTAATGCTTGCAGTTAAATTGTATTAATCAGGTGAAATTTTTATTTCTATTTTGTTGGTGGGATAAAACAATAATGAATTTTATTATAGATCTGCATCCATCAAATCATATAATAATTATCAATGTTATATAAAATGTATGGTGGCAGAACAAAGAAGAAACGACAGAGGTTTAAGAAATAAACAATTGTATTAACGTAAAAATACAACAATGGTGAAATGGTGTGAATGTCTCTCATTGAAAGAAAGAGATAAGTAGAATTGTAAAAGTCATCTGTAGAGGCGTACGGTAGGAGAGAGAGGGTGAGTTGTGACTTACTGTGGCGATGACCTTTGGCAAGTTGTTTTTGGAGATGGGAGGTTGCGTTCCAACGAGCGTTGTAAATCCAGGCTGTTGTGCCATCTGACCACCAAAGATGTCTCTTTGATGGGCTTTTATGTCCTTTTCTTCGGCTCAGATCAGCTCTAATTTTAATTTTGTTTCTTTAGGTAGGAGTGGGAGCTATTGGGTGAAAATTCTGGATTGTATTTTTCTTTGAGTGTGTAAGTAAAACAGAAGCTATGTGTGGAGCCGATGCGCAGTTGACGGAATTTTTAGTTCAGTCTTGGGTTTTAGACTGTTCATTCTGGCCAGTGGTGGAAATTTGTTTAACATGAATCAGAAGAAGATCTGGTTTTAGGAAGATTATAACATCAATGTATATTTATTTAGATATTTTCTGTCCCATCAGTCATGGGAAGAGAGAGGTAAATCAACTTAAGTGAGTAAATTTATGTGTGATTACTTCTTTTAGTGGATTTGATAATCTATACAAATAAAATATTTATCTGCATTTGTACAAAATGAATATTTTAATTAATCTCTTCCTTTACTCCTACATTTCTTAGATTGCAGTTTTATTTGTTCAAGGCTTTCATGTGAAGCACTTGGATAACTTTGTCTATTAAGTGATCCTCTTGCTCTACTTGAAATAGTCTTTGTCATTACTAACTTTATCATTCTGTTGCTATTTTTTTCTTCCAAGAGATATTTTCATTTTACTGTTATATTAGATATGTAAAATATTTAACATGGAAAAATATTGAGCAAAAATTGATTTATATAATACCAGGAGTAATCAATGAATCATAGATACCATTGAATGTTTAAAAATATAAAGGGATTGGATTAATTAAATGTTTTAATGGCCTCTATTTTACTTGTGAATTCTTTATCTTCGCTTTATTGAATCTCAATACATTGTTTCAAGACTTTGTTTCATGGTATCTCACTATTAAAATTTTGTAACAATTGCTGCCATTTTTTATGGCACGGATATATAGTATTCTAATAAATTATGTATAACCTCATAAAGATATGACACTTTAAAAAAATGATGAGTCACTTTAATAACTCACTTTCATGTTCTTTCTTGATCTGTTAATGTCTATTTTCAGGCTTGCAAGCATTTACTATGATGATATGCAATTTGAGGTTCGGTTTATTCCTTCTCGTCATGTTGTCAAATTGCAACAAAGAGCTCTCGATTTGGTTGAGAAGTATAAATTGTGGCCTGTTTTGTTTCCCGTGAGTGCGGATGCTGGTCAGTTGGAGAGATATCCAATAAAGATTGACAGGTAAGATTGTAACATCCATAATTAACATGAATACAATTAAATTAATGATAATTATTTGAGAGATTTTTTTCAATAACATTTTTCAGATTGAGCTAAAAAGCTACGAAGGTGTTTACTAAATGTTAATGCAATCAACGATGCATTATCCCATTTGAATAACTGATGTGGAATAACTGGCCAGGGTTAAGCATATTTGGCAAAATTATCAAGTCTCAAAGTAAATTTGATCAGTTCGATAAGGTCAAATTGGCAGCTGATTTAAAAAATGACCCATAGTCTGTTTTTAACTTGGGCAAGGAATGGCTTGTTAATTTTAATGCATTCAAAACAAAACTTCTCTCTATCAATCACCTGAAAGATCCAATTCTGTGTCCCATCAGCATGGCTAATACTAACCTCCATAAGAGTGATTCGTTGCACTTTCTCAGGCTTACATTTTCAATAAACAACAATAAGAAGAAGAGGAAAAAAGGACAGGGTAAAACAATATTAAGTATATATATATATATATATATATATATATATATATATATATATATATATATATATGTGTGTGTAATCCTAGACTTTTGAATAGGGATGACCCAATTTTTCTGCATGACAACGCATAGGCACAAGGTTCTCGATCAACTGGCCAAAAGCTGCATAGTCTGAATTATGAAATTTTGCCTCATCCTCCATATTCACCCAATATCTCTCCTACTGATTATCACTTATTTAAGCATTTTGAGCTTTTCATATGCAATAAAACTTTTTCCAATGTGGAAGAAATAATCACAGCATTTGAATTGTTTATCACATCAAAGGATGAGAATTTTTTTAAAGATGGGATCAAGAATTAAGGGGTATGTTGGAGAACAGTCATTCATCAACATGGTGCCTATTTCAGCTAAATAAATTGGTTATTTAACATTTCAGAAACGTTTTATTCATTTCCTATAAAGTGTGTCAATTCATGTGTGACAACCTAATACTAAGACAAAGGTGTATAGAAAATGCTTTAATTGCTAGATCATCTACAGATAATTTGCATTCAGGTTCTTACAACATTTTACTTTTCTTTGCAGATCTTCTATTATCACAATGTGGTATATCAAAAATGATAAAAACATAAACAAAATAAAAAAGAAACTAAATGAAATAGGCTAGACTATATACCTAAACACGTATTTAAAAAAAAAATATAATTTTAAAATTTCTGCATCCTCTCTCCTTCATGTGTATATGTAATTACATCAACATAAATATAATCTGAGTCTGATGAACTCTTAAAAGATGAAATGGATCACATGAAAAAACATTTTCAATTTAGTCATAGACTTTCCTAAAATTGTTTTGGTTTGTGTAAAGGGATCAATTTACATGGAAAACTGAACCCCCAATTAACTTTTATAAACGTCTTAGGTATGATGATAAACTACATCCAGCAACAAGGCCTCTGATCTTAATTGCTCTTGTTCCCAGGTCCACCTTGATCTGAGGTGGTAGCACCTGTTAGGGTTCCAGCTATGGACAAATAGTTAACCCACAAACTGGGGTCAAAACACTATGAAAGTATAAAAATACATTTGTAGCATAAAAATACCAGCAATACATTTTTGTAAAATAAATTACTAAAGAGGCCAAGAAAATAAAATTTTGGCATTAAATGACCCATAAGGTATTGATAGCCACTAAACAAATAAACATAAAAGTAAAAAAAAAGTATGGGATTTGGAGTGCATAATCTGTAGTACTACGAAAAAAATGATTATTTTTTGCTCTTAGAGCCTATTATACAGCTCTACCCAGATTTTTTTTCTAGACTGGTTGCCATTCAAGGCTAGAGAGCCAAGTTTACTCTGTCATTTAACCCAGAGATAGTAGAAGAGATGGATTCATACCTGTTCCAAGGACATTAATGTGAAGGGAATACAAAAGACTTTCTCAGAATTTGAACTAAACTTGATAAGTTCACTTTCTGCAATGATAACTGTTACACTACCCACACATTCCAAAGTTTTGAAGTAAAGGTCTGTTAAGAAAAATTAAAATGCTTTTGATACACTAATTTATTTTGTTCCTAAAATGCAGAGATTTACTGTTTATTACTTGAGGCATTATTCTTAGTGGATACCCATATTTGAGTAGAAGCCCTGTTTTTTATTTTTTTTTTTTTAACAGTGTCTACAGCACAATTTCTTTAAGGTTTCTTGAGTGTGCAAGCTCGTAAATATAATAAACATTGTTTAAAAACGAGGTGTCTACTCAAATACTGGTATCTAGTAATAATGATGTTTGTATTATGCTAAGTAATATGTTGGATTAAAAATAAATGCATTAATTCTTTGAAGATTTCCTGTGGAATTCTGCTGGTATGATGTATCTCTTTTTCTAGTTTATAATTTTGTTTATGTATTAGATTCTTTGATGAGAACATCAGCCAAAATCCTCAACAACAAATTGCTATAAATAATATAGTATCCGGCATTTCCAGACCTTGCCCTTACATTATTTATGGACCTCCAGGTACTGGCAAGACAGTTACCATGACAGAAGCCATAAAACAAGTAAGAATATATTTTGTTCTTTATCTTAGGCTTAGAGTAAAACTAATAAACTACATGTATGTATAAGATTTCAACCGGGGACATTAATTCAATAGTTGTAGTTGTTGGATAGTACATTGAATTTTATGGAAACTTCATTACAGTTCCCTGTTTAGCCCTGTTCAAACCAAGTTTCATTTATAATTATAAAAAGATTTAAAAAATAGCAGGGTAGAAAACATGCTTTTCTACAAGATGCATAAAACCTAAAAAAGGGAGTACTCATAAGAGAAAAAGGAAACAATGGAAATTAATACATTAGAGAGCTCTTCTATGATAACAGAGAAAAGTATCTTACAATGCATAAAAGCATAGAAAAACTTTTTGTAACATTCTATGGTAAGATCAGTACTAGCGAAGAAGAGAAAGCAGCAGGACCAGATGAAATTGTGATATTAGTGCTGTTAGCCTTAGACAATTTTGGTATCAGTAAGCTAGTTAAAATAATAAAATGACTGGTGAAATACTAGAAAACCTATCTGTCTTTATAGTGATGCCAAAGAAACCAGGTGCAAATGAATGTGGACAATCCGCTTGATGAGCCACATAACTTATCGTTAGGATTCTAAAAATAGAGCTTGCAGCAGATTTAAATTGGAAAGAATAGTGTGGCCTTGTTCAAGAGATAGAAATGCAAAATGCTATTTTTATTTTTTTTATTATGATTCATAGATTATACAAAGACATTTGATGGAGTAGAACATGAAAACCTACTTGAAATACTAGGAAAGCTTGATATATACAGAAAAGATTCAACTAGAAAAACAGTATCTGTCTATATCTCTGAGATTAGGTATTATTATTATTACATTATTCAGACTGTTATCCTCATCTTCATTGCCATATTCACTGCGTTTTGGCTGTTGTACATGCCAACCTTCTTCAGGTAATTGGAATTGCTAACTGAACCCTTTATTTCGTCCACTGAGATAGATTGTTCTAGTTCCATATGCTATGCCTCTTCCAGATGTTTCAGTTATTTCCCTTTAACTCAACTCTCCAAGTTTTTTGGTAACATGAGTGGAAATAGAAAAATCATGTGTAGCTGATCATATATGGCGGAAAAAGGGAGATCATTGCCTCTTGTGAGATGAGGTTGAAATAATATAGAACATCACTGGAAAATATGAAAACATAAGGAATCAGCACATATGTTAGGCCACAAAAATCTCCTGACTCAACCAAGCATAGAAATGAATACAATATGGGAACCAGCAATAAGGAGTGCTAGAAAAAAGCAATGAATAACAACACAAAATTGCAATATAAGCTCTAGTAAAATTATATAATATTAAAAACTGAAAAAATTGCAATATGTGTAATGGTAAAAAAATGGTGCTGAGACATTAGGTTTATAAGTCCCAGAAATTCATATGCAGATGTCCTCAAGGACACATGGCCCAATGGATAAAGGCATTGGTTAGTGACTAGATCCAAAGAATAGTGAGTTCAATCCCAGGCTATAACATTGGTGAACCAAAAACTTGGAGAGTTGAGTTAAAGAGGAATAACATGGCACATGGAACAAGAACAATCTATCCCGGTGACAAAATTCCAATCACCTGAAGAAACATTGTGAATATAGCAATGAGGATAACAGTCTGAATAATCTAAGTAGAAACAGTTTGCATAAGGATAGAAAATGTATTTAGTGAATAAACAAAAATAGAAAGACACATAATAATGGATTTAATTGATTAATACCATAAAATGATCCAAAAGAGTAAAATCTTAACCAAATAAGATACTGTTTTGGTGACAGACTCTGAAAGAAAACAGAAAAAACTCTTTGTCAAAATTGTAAACTATAAGACAGAACACTGCTTAAATTTACTGGTCTGTTCAAAAAAAAAATAACCAGAATTTTTTTTTTAATAATTTCTATAGATTAGACATCACCAAACCTTCTTCTATCTATGATGTTTGTCAAAATCGAAAAATATTAATTCATTTATCATTTTAGAAGTGGGGGTCCTATTCATTATATAAATACAGTGTCAGATCGATCCCTGACTTTTTAAAGATTTATCTGAACTCTGTTTTTATTTACAAATGTCAAGTTTGAAACTTAATAAATAAATTAATAAATTCCTATTATTGATGTCCTTTTTTTCAATTCATGATAGTATACAGATTAAATATTTTATATTTAAAATATTGTTTACTGTAGTGAAAGATATTTAATGCGGATTGTTTCTTTTGTATAATAACAGCTTCAAGTAATGTGAGTCTTTCCTTGCAGTGAGTACTACATAGTATTTTGGTATTATATACTAATATTTATCTTATGCCAAGTGTTGAAGTTTGTTTTTTCTTGTGATTTGGTTTTCTTGTTCTTTGGGGAGATTGCATCTCCACTTCTACTACTGGGAATGAAAGAGAATGAAAAGGTCTTTTGGGGGAACCGGAAACTCACTTGTAAACAGGAAACAAGGTATCCTATTCAAAAGGTCAAAGAGTGTGAACTGGACAATAGGCGAACCTATCTACGCCTATTGAGGAAAAATGTAAATAAATAAAAAAGTTCAAAGTTTTACACAGAGACTTAGAAGTATAGAGTTGAAGTTGACTTTAGTAGGGACTGGAAAAGCAATCCTAAACAGGAAACAATGGATAAACCTCTACACCTATTAAAAAAAGTTGCTTAGATTTTATAAGGAATTTACTATTCCAATACACATTCAGATTTCAGTGTCACATTTTCCATCTGTTAAAACTCTTCCAAGAAATTTATGCTAGGAAAAATACATGTTAAAATGCTGTTTGCAGTTGTGAAAGATATTTAATACAGTTTTTTTTTTCTTTCATATAATAACAGCTTCAAGTATTTTGCATCTTTCCTTGCAGTGTGCTGTATAGTATTTTTGTATTATCAACTAATATTAATCTTCAGTTAATGGATTAATGGTTGTAGACAAATATAAGTTTTTTGATATATAAATGCACTTGGAAATTGATTTAAATCAGTGGTTCTAAATCTTTTTCTATTGATGCACTCCTTCCTTTGATTAATATTTTCTTTATACCCCATCCTCTTAGCTGATTACTTTAACAAAAGCTACTTTTACAATATTCAGAATAAATAAACAGTGATATTTCTCCATTATAAACTTCAAAACTGCTTGTTTTAAAAACTAAACAAATTAAATGAAATAAACTTATTTTGACAAAAAAGTTCTGCACATAAATTTTATATAAATGTACAGTAGTGACTCTTGAAAATGGTTTGATTAAATAATTTAAGTTTATTAAATATTTTAAATAATTTAAGTTTATTAAATAATTTAAATTTATTAAATAATTTAAATAATTAAATTTATTAAATAATTTAAATAATGTAAGTTTATTAAATAAATAATTTAAATTTATTAGAACTAAAATATAGAGGGCAACAGGTTTGTGGCCCCTTCCATTGAACTTGTGGCCCCAAAATCCAAAAGTTTTTTGTGGCCTCCATAAAATTTACCAGGGCCCCAGCTTAAGAACCTTTGATTTAAATATTGCTATCAATCTTTCATGTACTGTAGAAAATTTTCTTTCTTCATTTCTGTCCTATCTAGGTTGTGACTTTGCTTCCAAACAGCTGCATACTGGCCTGTGCAGTGTCCAATTCAGCCACTGATATATTGGCTCTAAAACTAGTGGAATTTGAACCCAAAATAAAAATATTGCGGATGTATGCTTTGTATTTTGACCCTAATAAAATACCTCAGAAAATCTTTGTAAGTATTCTCTATTTATATTTTACCATTGTTATGTACCTAATGGTATTTTTAATGGTATTTATTATACTGAAGATATAGAATAAATGTAATTCTGAATAATAAATCTGACAATACAAATTATCATATATATATATATATATATATATATATATATATTACTGTGTTGTTCATGCTGTACAAAGCCTGGGAGCCACTCGAGGTAGACGTTACAGAATATGAGGCACAGTTTATGTGGATATGTGCATAAGATAACGGTTAACCCTAGACTTGAACAGATTAAGACTGTAGTGATCAGAGAGCATTCTCTTGGGAGTTGGTTCCACAAAGCATCTTGGAAAAAAGCTGCTTGAGTGGAACTTACATCTCACTAATGGAATACGAAGGGAATGAGGATGGTTCACTACAGTGTTCATGTCATGATAGACCTTATTCATGAAGGTTTGAACTGGTGGAATTTTGTTTGAACAATAGAGCAGCTAGAGGCTTGCAATAAATAGGTCTGTGGGGAAGGTGTTGTAGAGTGGAAAATAATTCATCACTGCATTGAGACTGGACAGCTCCTACTATGACAGTTCACCATTTTTGGCCTAATCTGGTTCTTGTAAAGGTAGAGGATAGCAGGAGGAGTCAGGTACTTACTGAAATTGTACAGGGAACCAACCATTTTCCAGTGATGGTTCTGATGTATGCAACACCTGGGTTCCCCCTCACAGTAATATGATTGGCTTGTGTCAGCCATAAATACAGACTGATGTGGAGGTACAAGGGGAATTGCCTACCACTTCGACGAGGACCAGTTCATTACGGTTACCTGCTAGATTGTCCTACTCAGTTACAGTAGTCCAAAACCACTTTGCTACTTCGAACAAATATATCCCTTTCCAGGACATATCAGGTTCATATTGTGATACTATTTGTTGTTGCTGCGGTAAAACTGAAGAAAGTTTTGGTAAAGCAAAAGAAAGTTTTCTTATGTTTAGAGGAAACAGTATAATGAAAGACTTTGGAACAAGAAGAGTTAATACATAAAATCCGTGGGAAAAGTTGATGATTTAATTCACATATAGACAACATCTGAAATTGTGCCTCGAGGTTTTGAATAATGGAAAATGACCCAGACTGAGAGGGCAATGATGATTGTCATGGGTTGTATGCAGCTGAAAGTGCAAGTTGTAAAGCAGAAACTTCATTTTTGTAAACAATGAATTTGAAGTTGATTTCTCCTGGTCGAAAGTTGAGTTGAAATATCAGGAGGGGGTGGATGAGCCAATGACACTCACTGAGCAGGTTTAGTGAGAGGTAATAATAAGAGAGAGTGGAAGAAGGGAATTCCCCAGAATTATGAAGTAAGCTGACAACAAAAGGGAATTCTCTTGCTGTGCCGTGCACTGCACCAGTTTGAGCAAATGTCAATAAATATGAATGCATGAAGCAAATTTGTCAGATGGAGACAGGAGAGAGAGAGAGAGAGAGATAGCAGAGACCAGCCACTGGTCATGATACACCCCACGTGATTGCCTGCTGAAGAGAACACCCCAACTTCAGCCTTGTGCCAAACGTTACCAAAACAGCAAACCAAACTTTACCAAGTCAACAACAATATCACTTTCAATTTAGATGTGCGATGTGCTGATAATTAATTGCATGCAAACTCAGATATAACCAATTAGTGTATGAAGGACTGATATAAAAACAGTAACTTGTTCAATTTATTCAAGTGTTATTTTTTTTCCCTGTATGTCTTCGCCCTGCTTGGACCAGCCTAACATGATACCTGCAACAATTCGATCTTAGCTGCCTTGTGATCAAACTTAAATCAAAATGTGGGATAGGGCAGGTCAAATTGATCAACCACTATGCTAGAAGTCTTGGACAGCTGGGGTGGATGTTGTACATTTACAATATGTACAACTACATGAGTTCTGGGTTGAGTTTAATCTTTATAGGTGCTCAAGTCAGATGTAAAAAAAAAAGATTTTTACAAAGATTTTTTAAAAAAGAAACATTTAAAAAAACTTAATTCATTTCTTGAAAGTTTCATTAAAATCCAACAATTATTTGATTTTTGCAAGAATTTCTAAATGTGTTTTTTACTGCAAAGCAATGTGTTTCAGATACTCAAATTTTCCATACAAATTTAAATACATTGCATTGATGCCAGAAAAATAAGATTTTAACCAAACTTTCCAAGGTTCTAAAAAGGATGAAAAATTTTTTTTCATAAAAACATTCTTTGCTCTTTTATCTTAATAATAACACAAAGATTTTGTCAATAAAATTTTGTTTTTATTATGTTTTGAGCATTTTTTTATCATGTACAATTTTGAATTTTTAGCAAATTTTTGGAAGTACCTAGATATAAGTAAATTTTGGGAGGTACCAAGACATCAGTAATTGTCAAGTCTGCCATGAGCACCTGTTTTCACTATTATTCTCTGTCATACTCCACATGTCAAGGACACTAGTGCTTGCACCCCATTTCATGACTAATAGTTCTCTATAGTAATAACATGTTAAGAAATGACTTAGATGTTTATTTAAACAACATATCATTCTAAAGTGAGTGTCAACTACTGAGTTTACAAATTTCAAACTAAAATGTCCAATCTACTAATTCTCAATGTTACAAAGTAACTACATATTGTGTGATTTTCATATATGACATCTGTGTGACATCTAATCAAGAAAGGGAATTGTGCCAAATGATCAGCAAATTCAAACACTATTTTCATTGCATGATATTGACAGATATCATTACATTCTTGTATTACAAAATGCATTTCTTTTATTTATTTGCTTTCATTTGTTTATTTTTTTAGTTTTCTTCAAATTTTTCTGAAGAGGATAATAATTATTTTTATCCTAGTCCTGAAGAATTAGAGACATATGATGTTATCATCTGCACAGTAACTACAGCAGGGAGGTAAGTAGTTGATTGTTTTTTAGGAAAATTAGTTGAACTTCCGCTTTGTACTGTGTTATAATGCATACAAATTAGGGATAATTTGTTAGTCACTTAGTGCAAACAACATCATCTGATAAAAAAAAAATGATTGTTACCAGTTTTGTGCGGACTGAGAAATTTCAACAATTGTGATGAATGTATGTTCCCTCAAGGAGGCCCTGTGTCTAGAGCTTAAACTTAAACTCAGGCCAGACCTCAAGTGGAACTCATATATATATATATATATATATGATCCATCACTAAAGATACTGGAAAGATGGTTGGTTCCCTGTACTGCTCCAGCAAGTACATGACTTCTCCTACTATCCTCTACTTTTACAAGAATCAGATCAGACTGAAAATAAAGCTGATGCTAGATATGGGTAGGAGCTGCCAGTCTTCATTTTTCATTTTCATTAGAGTCTAAAAGCATTTCCATGTCCTTGTGGGTGATAAATTATTTTCCACCCTACAACCCCTTTCCCACAGAGGAATTGTTACAAGTTTCTTGCTGTCTATTGCTTTTTTCATTTCTTTGTGAAAGTATTCAGATAACATACACTCCTTAGTTCCACTAGTATTATCCTTCAAGGCCAAAACCCACCATGCCAGGTAAATTGTAGTGAGCCACCCTCATTCTCTTTTTATTCCATTGGTGAGTTGGAAGTTCCACTCTAGCAGCTTTCACTGCCTTGTGGAACTTACTCCCAAGAGGTTGCTTCCCCAATCCCTACAATGTTAACCAAGTCAACTGTTACCTTTCCCACATATCCACATAAGGTGAGCCTCTTACTCCATAACCCTTTACCTGGAGTGGCCTTCAATCCTTGTACAGGGGGAACATCATTGTAAAAAAAAAAAGTTAATGATGTATGGGCCAGTCAGAAAGTCAGTCATAGAGCAACAGAAGCTGAGAAGGATTGAAAATAGACCAAAAACTAATATCTTATTGTGGAGCCCTCATATGATTGACTACCTAGTCTTTCATGTCTGAACACCAAACAGCACAGAAGATATTTGTTGTCAGTTATTGTGGTATGTTGTTTGTGTGTGTTTGTGTGTGTGTGTGTGTGTGTGTGAACCAAAGAAAAAGAAGGTTATGTTAATATGAAAGAATAATGAAAGTTGGAGTATGGGTGTGTAACACTATTTGGGTTGCTGGTAATTAATAATCAAAATGGTGACTTGGAAACAAGATAATGAATAACTTTGCATGAAAAGGGTTAACCAATACTGGAAAAATAGGCTGATTGTAAGAATTGTTCCAGAGAATCGAAATATGTATAATGGACCAAATGACCGCTTGAAAGCAATTCTCAATTTGTGCAAACAAATCAGCTGTTGACAGCCGATGACAACTAATGCCTGAATCTGAAAAGAGAAGAATTGAGTTAAAGCTAAATGAATTCATTTTGCGGGATGTCAGAATGAAAATAAATAAATTGAACACCTGCGGCTGAGCACTAAACATTTACCTGGGAAAGTGTCTCTTGAGTCAGAGGTGAGAGAGTCAAATGTGGTGTCAATTCATTTATGAGAAAAGTACATTTGAAAACAAATTTTTTTCATTAATCTTCGACCGAATGTTGAAGGTGACAGGTGTAGAAGAGCACTCAAGGAAGGAGGAGGGGTAGTCTGCACCCACTGAAAGGTAGCAGGCACAGGGGAAACATTAAGGCAGTTGAAGGAGCTGCTCACGCCCACTGAGGAGCAATAGTGAGAGATGGTACTAAGAGAAGGTGGAGGCAGCCAGGCAGAGCAATGTCTGAAACCACCTCACTCACGAGTGAGGGAGAATTCCCCCAAATTCTGAAACTAATTTGATTTCACAAGACCAACAATAATAGACTTTTGTTGGAAATCAGGGGATTCACTGAAACCCAGTCTACATCTTGCCCTGCACTGGTTTCTAGTTGGAGTCCATAAAAATGAATGCATGAAAACCATTCAGACAGTTCGGGAGTTGAGCTTGAGTTGAATTCTGAGAGACAGCCAGAGAGCTGAGAGGGAAAGCGACGGAGGTCGCTGAAAGATTCCACACTTTCTGCCAAACATAAGAACCTCTGACTTCAGCCTTGAGCTAAGCTTACCAAAACAGTAAAACAAATTTTGATAACTCTGCAAACCAAAAACTTACCAGCTTACTGAAAGTGTTGCATCCGATTTAGGAACAGGTTGGGTTGACAAACACCTGTATGCGAATGCAACTACTAACAAGCCCTTGTACGCAGAATTGATATAAAGATAGTAATTATTTTTTATATATATTCTGAGTGCTGTTTTTTTTCCAATTTTATTGTACAACTTCACTCAACTTGGACCAGCCCAACACGAAGATACCTGCAATGAATTGATCTTGGCCTCCTTATAATCAAAATAATCACAACATGGGGTAAGACAGGTCAGGTTTGAAGAGATCACTCCATTGATCAAGCCAGGATTGGATTGAGGTGTAACATTTGGTTTGCTGTAAGCCAGGATTGAGTTGAAGTGTTACATACAGACAGGAATACACACACACACACACACACACATATATATATATATATATATATATATATATATATATATATATAACACAAAAGGAAAACATATTAGCTGACATGTTTTTTCCTCTGAGGGACTTTATCAAGGCAAATGTGAGGACTTTATTTTGTGACAAGTATTTATATACAAGAGCAGAAAGTGCCCATGGATATTCATCAGGTTAGCAGAAATGTCAGGCAACTTCATGGACATGAGGTGATACAGTTCAATGACTAATATTTTATTGTAGAGTCCTCATATGATTTACTAGCATCAGCTAAGATAAGTTTTCCTTTTGTCTTTATTTATATTGTTCTTTTACAGATATACTCTATCTGGAATTTTTATGCATAGGATTAATACAAATATGAAATTTATCACTTAGTTGATTGATATTTTTTATTCAGCACCCCAACCCCAGAGTTTCATAGACAAACTTTTTAGTAATCACTCTCTTCACTCTTCAGGAGCTATCAGCAATTGACTGCTTATTTTCTCATTTTCGTTATTTTTATATTAATTTAAAAAATAATTTATGCATTTTAATTGGTGTAAGGTTGATTTTTTTGCCTTCATTTTATGTGTGTGTGTGCTTATATGTGTGTGTGCTTGTCTGCATGTATATATATACATCACCCAAAAAAGTGATATCTAAGTTTTAATTTTGTTGGCTATGTCCTGACAATTTTTGATTTCTGGGATTCAAATCAATTCTTAAATCGACAGGCAGCATTCAGTTAATGCATTTTTGATTAGTGTACTAAAATTTTTATATACCAAAATTCAATTAGTGTATATATAATACTTGATTAGCCTGGAAAAACATTCTTCAGTTTCACCAAAGTAATTGAAAATTGACCTTTTTATAGTTATCGATGTACAAATTAGCCACACTAATCAAGGGATTCCTCTATATACAGTCTATATAATAGATGCGAAAATGTCTGTGTGTATCACACTTTTTTCAATTAAAGGGAGACAACTCTTTAACTTTTAAATATCTGATCTTCAAATGAGACTTGCTCATCCAGGATTAGAATTGAATCCTCAGATTGCAAATTTAGCTCTCTGTAAAATTGAAGACAAAGTGATGAACTTGGCTCAAAGAAATCTCAGCAATTTTGATCTGTCAAATTCAAACAGAGAAACTGGACAAATCAAGAGAGAAATTTTGAAAGAAACAGGATACAACATGGAAAAACTATGGCAATGTGTCCAAAATAAACCCTTATTGAACCAAGACCAACAGCAAGTGTATCAGAAGATCCTTGATGACATCAGCAACAACAATGGAGGGATTTTCTTCTTGGATGCACCTGGAGGTACTGGTAAAACTTTTACAACTAACCTTCTTTTATTTGCAGTGAGACTCCAAAGAAAAGTAGCTCTAGCAGCCGCATTATCTGAAATTGCTGCTACCCTCTTAACTGGAGGGTGTACAGCACACAGCACCTTCAAATTTCCATTGGATTTGAACTAAAATGAAACCCCTATATGCAACATTAAAAGAGGAATCAACTTGGCTAAGCTACTGGATGAGATAAGCTTCATTATCTGGGATGAATGGTACCATGGCACACAATCAAGCATTTGAGGTCCTGGACAAAATACTCAAAGACATTAGACAGAATTCACAAATAATGGGAGGTATCACTGTAGTATTCTTTGGTGCTTTTAGGCAAACATTAACAGTTATTTCAAGAGGAACTCAAACTGATAAAATCAATGCTTACCTGAAAAATCCTTACATCTGGAGTCATGTTCAAAGATTCAGCCTGAAAACAAACATGAGAATTAGAATCACTGGTGACCTTGAAGCAGGGAGATTTACTGCTTTGCTGCTGCAGCTTGGCAATGGAACCATCAACATGGACCAAAATGGAGATATTTCACTTCCAATGAGTTTTAGTCTCATGTATCCAAGATTGATTAACCATGTTTATCCAAACATTAAACATTATTTCATGGTGTTAAACTGGCTTTGTGAGAAGGCCATATTAGCTTTCAAGAATCAAACTATGGATAGCATCAACTGAAAACTTCTCCAAGAAATTTCAAAAGAAAGCATGAAATACTTTTCCATTGACACTGTGGTTGAACAAGTGTAGGCAGTGAATTATCCAATAGAATTCCTGAACTCATTAAATCATCCTGGAATGCCATCACACAAGCTGGAACTAGGAACTAAAAGAAAATATGCCAGTTATGCTATTGAGAAATATGGATCCTCCAAAGCTTTGCAATGGAACAAGTTTAATTGTCAAGAAGATGCTTTTTCATCTCTTAGAAACTGATATCCTTACTGGTCCAAGAAAATGTTTTAATTACAATAATCTCTTTAATTGCTCCAGATCTTCCTTTTGAGTTCAAAACACTTCAGTTTCCAGTGAGAGTGATCTATATAATGTCAATCAATAATTCCCAAGGACAATCATTGAAAGTAACTGGACTTCATCTGATGAAACCCTGCTTTTCTTATGACCAACTTTATGTTGATTGTTCAAGGCTTGGGAATGGAAACAAGCTATTTGTACTGACCTTGAATAAAAAAAACCCAAAAATGTTGTTTATCATGCAGCTTTGCAATAAGTTCCAAATAGAAAAATATATCATTCTTTTGATGAAAACTTGTTTAAAATATTGTTAAAATTTAATATGTACAAGATGCATGCAGTGTCATTGTTGGGCCAAAGGCTCAATCAAGAGCACTCTGCTGGAGCTAGCTTAAATGCCACCCAAACAAAACACAAAATCCAAGTCTGGATAAATTTTCGTTCATCCAAGTAGCTTAATCGGTCATGCCATATTATTGCATAGCATTGTTCCATGACATGTGATTAGTAGTCAATTTCTGCCTGTCTCTTTTTTTACTATACACTTTATTTTTCTTCTACTTAACATATCCAAATAGGTACAATCATATTTACCAATCTGCTAGAGTTTCAACTTAAAATGCTAATAGAAAAAAGCACTTCACATTTCTTTCTTTTTTTATAGCAGCTACTTCTCCATTTTTCTCCTTGTCAGAAAAAAGAAAGATAGTGGTAGTTTAATTCCTAACTACCACTTATCAGTTACAGGAAAAAGAATGCTAAGTTCATGTCTTTAACTTGGCGAATTATCAACTGCTGGACCTTTTGTTCCATAAACAAGCTTTTACATCCAATATCATGGCATTAATCCCTGATTGATCACCTTGTTAGTGACTCTACAAAGAGTGTCTCATCTGTATTACAATCAATAGGTTTTTTTTTCAGAATGCATTGTCATCTAGATCCTATTTTTTTTTACCCTAATGAGAATTGATGGTTGCAGCACATCTCAATATGCATTCATAGTCAACTAATCAGATGAATTCCTGTTCAAAACTAAAATACCATTTTCTGATCCACTCTGACAGTATTTAAAAAAACAAACTTTGAAACTAGAAGTAGACAGAGAGACCCAGCCTGGATACCCTCATTAGATAAATACTGTCAGGGTGGATAAGAAAATGGTATTTTGGTTTTGAGCAGGAACTTGTCTGATTGGTTGATTACTATTTATTTTATTTGAAGAAAAGCAGAAGTTGATGCCACCAACATTTGACACTTCTGTCACTGAACTGTTAATTTCAGAGTCTAGCAGATGTAGGAGGTATGACAGTATTTTTAAAGTTCCAACATATATCTTGTTTGTTGTAATGCAAATTGATGTCTTTTTCTACTTTTTTTTTTATATCTCAGTGAAAGTCATTAATCACATAATTCTATCTAAAATATTTGTCTATGATAATTGTGTTTTACTTTTTTTTCTTTGGTTTTTAACAGATTGACCTCTGAATGTTTGCTTGGTCACTTTACACACATCTTTATTGATGAAGCAGGTTTCTGTATGGAGTCTGAATTGATTGTGGCCATTGCTGGAAATCTGGATCTTTCAAAAACCCAACTTGTTTTGGCAGGGGATCCCAAACAACTTGGACCAGTTATCCGTTCACCTTTTGCCAAAGAATATAAACTAAGTAGGTTTTTTTGAAGTCTTATATTTATGCATTGCATTTATAAATATTTTTGGGACATGTTTTCAATACCTAATACAGTGTTATGATGCCATGTTTGAATTATTACAATCTTCATTTTTTGGAAAAAATTATTTCGGTTGTAATCCTGAAGAATTCTTAGATTTAAAAGGAAATATTTTAAGAGAAAAAATAAATTAAATAAATGAAAACAACAAAGGCCTTTTTAATTAATTTATGGAAAGTTGAGAGAGAGAAAATTTGGCCTTGTAAAAATATTCAACTCATCCACAAAAAAGAAAAGACAGAGAAGAAAGCAGACAAAGTGTAAATCAAAATTTTTATATTCCAGAAATTGTTGAGATATTTTACAAACTTTTTTCATTTGTTCAGCATTTTTTGCGACATATTTGCAAATACTTAAAATGTTCAATGTTCTGATGCCATCTTTGAATTTTTTTAAATCATTTCACCCCATGCAAGGCAATAAAGCCATTCAGACACAAGAGGTTACTATGTGTTAGAAAATATGAGAAAAAAAAACTATTAAGACAAGAGAACAATAAAATAACAGTAATTAAGTAGACAGAAAGGAATGAATTCATCTCTAACCACCCAGCTATAGGTTGAATAGCAGAAGAGTCTCAGTCCTATAGCCTTGGTTGGCAACCAGTCTATTGCAGAAAGAAATGGTAATCAACTACAAGAAAAACTTTTGTCTGTTCATGAATTGAAAAACATGATCACCCAAGTGTGTATCATATATAGCACTTATTGATTGTTGTGATATATATATATATATATATATATATATATATATATATATATATATATATATTAGTGAATATACATAATATCAATATTTTTACTAATATATACTTATAGCTCTACTTCATAACATTGAGTACTGTATTTATAACACATTAAGAATAAATAGACTTACATATGTGCAAGTATTTGTGCATGTATGTACATTTTCTCCTACACATTCTTATATATATATATATATATATATATATATATATATAAGATTTTCTTCACTATCACTATTTTATGCTAAATATATTCATATTTGAGAAATTATGGTAATATAAATTTTATTGAACATCTAAAATGTTTTTCTTATCTATCTATTTATATATATATATATATATATATATATATATATATATATATATATATATATATATACATAAGTCAGATGTAGATTGACAATATTGCTTGTAAATATGTTTTTAAATTCTGGTCTTAGCAAGCTCCCTAGAAAATTCAATTTTTAGCAATTTTTTTGAAACTAACAATTCACCCTATGCAAGTAAGTAAAGCAATTTTTTTGAAACTAACAATTCACCCTATGCAAGTAAGTAAAGCCACCAAAACACAAGGGACTGAGTGTGGAAGAACAAGAAAAAAGAGAAACATTAAGGAGCAAGAAGAATAGAAGAGTAATCAAGACAGTAGATAATGATTGATATCACATTTAAATTTTTTGAAGATCAAAGTTAGCTGGAAAAGAGTTCTATGGGAAGTGCAAGAAAAGAAACTGTTAGTATAGAACTTATGGTTACACCTAACTAATTCAACCATGAATTGATGAGACCTTGCTGCCAATCTAGTACTGGGTTTAAATTCATAAAGTCTCAGTACCATAGCAAAGATTTCAAGACTGGAATTTTAAGAATTTTTAAAAGTGATTTTTGTTTTAAATTCTGATCTACATTTGACTATAGTAGCTCTATGTGTAGGATCAAATACTGTTATTAAAATAACCTGTTGTATTTAGTGCCACATTTATTTTGCTAATATTTTTGAGAGAGATAAAATACCAAAAAGTTTTGGGATTGGTAAAGAAAAGATTCCTTAAAATATTCTGTTCATTTGTTCAAATATTTAGAGGTGATTCATATATATATATATATATATATATATATATATATATATTGCTTGGCTACTCATTTCCAATGATACCCAGATGCCTGCTCAATCCACAGAATCCACTGTGGTTTTTATGTTGCAACTATGCCGAGTAGACATTAATTTCTTGAACAAAGCCAGCATGCTTAGACCTTTAGTTGTGATGACTTGTGACTTTGTGCTAGCATAACCATTCCATTGATGTCTTCTGAACAGTTCTGTTGAGCCAATTTCACTTACAAGGCTTGGGTTAAACCGTGGTCTTGTTTTCAGGCATTTTCTAAAGGTGTTGTATGTTTGAAATACCTACCCAGGCTGATATGTCCAAGAAGTCACCTCCCTGAAAAATCAAACATGCTGAGATTTGGGCCAGGATCCCATAGCCTAAAATCAAATGTTCTAATCATGCCCAATGCATATATATATATATATATATATATATATATAGTATGGTTGGCAAAAATTTTGTTGTCTTTATTAATTAAATTTTCTACTTAATAAGTAAACAAACTTTTTGACCAACCCATTATATATATATATATATATATATATATATATATATATATATATATATATTAAGAAATATAGAAAATACCTTGTACAACTCTGAGTTTCATTCCATAGCAGTTATCAAGTGCTTTGACATGAAACTCAGAGTTGTGCAATCAATGTAAGATATTATGTATATTTCTTAATATATATATATTAAATATCTGTTATTTATCATCGAGCACTGTTTTTCTTACACTATAGAGTATTTATATTTATTTGTATATGATTGCTTGCTCATACATCTACTTATATTTACCCATTCGGTTATATATATGTATATATATATATATATATATATATGATAGGATAAAGAACAAGTAGATCACAGATCTTAATCAGTTCACAGATCTTAGAGATCAAGATAAAAAATGATAAAAAGCAAAGAGACACAAATTAATGGTATGATGTTTTTGTCTATTTCTTATTGGTTAGATATGTGTCACGTGTAATGAAGTAACGGATAATATTTAAATATGTATGGCAAACATTCCTGACACTAAAGTGGGTAAAAGTTAGTAAGATGCAGTAAGATGTTTTGATTGGATACTTTTACTAATTTTTACCTACTTTAGCATCAAGAATGTTTGCCTAGTGTTAATTCCATATTAAGAGAAAAATGAATTTCTGTATGTAATTAAAGTTTTTATGCATTTTTAAACATTGGTATATTCACTTGCAATGATGGCCTTAGTGTTACTGGCACTCTGGGCAATCTGAACATTGGCACCCTTACAAGTATAATTTTTCTCTAAAACTTCATCGTTGCTCATATAATCAATCTGTGATATCCTCGGCATCCTTCTCTGGAACCACATTTCTGTTGCTTCAAGTTGCTTCTTCATTTTTGAGGAGATTGTCCAGCACTCACTGCCTATGCAAGAGGACAAATATCACGTAACAGTTTAGTACACTTTCCCTTGTTTCTAACAAAGTTTTTCTATTTATTAGTACTCTGCTTAGCTTTTGGAATGCAACTTTGGCTATCCCAATGCTTCTTCGGATTTAAGTGTTGCACTTTCTGTTCTCTGTTAAAACACTTCCTAGATATTTAAATTTAATTCATGGAATAATAACAATACTCCTATCTTCAAATTGCAAACATAGCAAGGAGAATAAGAGTGAGAAGCTTCCTGAATCTTAGAATCAGTTTGTGCATGAGTTACAGTCTAATTTAATTCCATTTTCAGATATTTCTTTACTGGAACGTATCATGTCAAACTTTCAGCTATATAAACGTGAATCTGATCAAGAATTTAACCAGAAAGTGATCACAAAATTAATTAAGAATTATCGATCTCACCCTGACATATTGAAAGTTGTGAGTGATCTGTTTTATGACAATGAATTACAAGTAAGTCACTATTTTCATCTTTTCAAAATTTAGCTGATTAACTATGGTAAACTACAAAAGCTAAAAACATTTTCTTGGTGTTTTTTAATTTACATTAGGGGTTATATTATCAATATGCAAGCAAATGTAGTAGGTCTATCTAGTAGTTAAGGTAGGTCTGGACTGAATCGTGTCAAAATGCAAGCCGTCCTATTTTATTGGCTAAGGAAAATATCCCAGCATGCATTTTGTGTATTTTTGACTATAGTATAAGAAGGGGAGGGGGGAAAACTTTTGCAATCATTCCCATATGTTGGGAAATCAACAAGTTGAAATTAATGCATGCAAGATTTCACAGCTCTAGCATCACTCCTTCATAGTCAGCCTATGAATGTCCACCCTTGTATTAAGTTCCTGTAGAATTATGCTTACCTATGATAGATGTATATTTACTAACAAATATCTGGTTGTGGTCATTTCTATGGAAACCAAAAGCAAAAACATTACCAAGAAATGTTAAATATTGTAAATATAACTAGGATTTTGAGTACCTACTGTTATATACATATAACTCCATCCGTAGTTTCTGCTCTCACCTCTAAACTGGATTGCCACAATGCATGCAGACTCTATAATATTCTTGCAATTATCTTAAAGAAGCTCTACAAGGTCTACAATAAATGTCTTGCTGCTTCCTACTTTCCAGTTTGTTGGAAATTGTCTTCTATAGTTTATGTTTTAAGTACTCACATTGCATTTAAATTTTTAAAGATTGTAATTAACAAGAAGGCAAGAAACTAGAAGAGTTCAATTGTTAGCATAGAACTTATGGTTACATGTAGCCATTTTAACTGTAAAATGAGGAAACCTTTGCAGCCAATCTAGTACTGCACTTAAATTCACTAAGTCTAGGTGCCATAGAGGAATGTTCCTCAGAACAATTACCATGAAACTATTTATAGGCAAGGGAACCTATGTTATGGTGGTGGGAAAGTGACTGAAGTTGAAATGGCAGGTTACATGTTGGAATAGGTTGAGATTTGAGTTTTTGAATAGATTCAGATAGAAAAACAGATTTGTTTACAGAAAGATGTCGAAGTTCAGAAAGAGAAACCTTTGAACTGAGTTTAAGTTTCTATACACATCTCCAGCTATAGTTTAAATAACAGAGTAGAGTGGGCTTTCTAGCCTTCTTTGGCAGCCAGTCTAGTGAGGATGTCTTAATAAAGACATCTATCCCCAAAAAGCATAGGTATGTGTCAGTCAGCACACATGGTATTGATCAGTGGTGTGGAGTATGCTCAACTGAGCATTTTTTTTATTCATTTCACCCCAAGCAAGGCAATAAAGCCACTAAGACACAAGGGGTTATTGAATGTGAGTGAATATGAGAAAAAGAAAGCAATTATCAACAAGAGAGCAAAATAAAAGAACAGGAATTAAGAAGACAGAAGATTGACATTGCTTTTAAATTTTTTGAAGATCAAAGTTGATTGGGAAGCAAGAAGCTGGAAAAGAGTTCCACAAATGAAAAGTGTGAGATAAGAAACTGTTAGTACTTATGGTTACATCTAGCCATTTCAACTGTAAAATGATGAAACTGTTTTGCTAATTTAGAACTGCACTTAAATTCATAAAGTCTAGGTACCATAGAGGAACATTCATCGGAACAATTACCATGAAACTATTAATAGAAAAGGCACAGGGAAACTGTTACAGTGGTGGCAAAGTGTAGTATATTGCTGCTGGGCTTGAATAAAGTGATGAACACACACACACACACACACACGCACGCACGCGTTCACACGCACACATATATCATTGTCTGAGTTGCGGCAAATGGGTAGAGTGAGGAAGAATCACATAGGTTAGGATTGCGCACACAGGAATTGACATCGACAAATCTTCAGTGAACCTCTAGCCAACCTCTCTGTCCAGATTAAGAATCAGACCAGTTTTATAACATTTGGACACCCATGCAACTTCATGTACCTACGCCTTCTTCTGGTATGTTGCCTATGCAACTTTGTGTGATCATGCCTCTTTCAGCATGCACCCATACAAGCATGCATTTCCTTCTGCTCAGGACACCTGTGCACCCTGTTTATTCAAGACCTGTACATCCTGCTTATTTTAGCCACCAGATGCATTTTCTGTTTATGTTCACCATTTCCAATTTCCACTCACACACTAATACAGTGGAAGTAAGGTCAACCAATATCCAACAAAAGTAACTGAACTGAAGCTGAGATGCTGTTTGAAATTTCTGATGAATCTTATCTGATTGAATAAGCTCATGGTGAGTTCTACAATAAAATATCTATGGAAATTCCCCTATTGCATCATTAAATATTTTAGCTTAACAGTTTTAACAAAATATTGCAATAAAAATCATAAATATGAATGCTGGTCATTATTTTAAGAAGTAAGGGGCTACAAATGAAAAGATTAAAAAATGAGAACTTTTCCATTTGACTGAAACAGTTGTTAAACACTTCTACCTTTCCTTCTTTCTTTCATTTTCTCACTGAAACCAATTGGTGCCTTTGATGTCTTTTGTCTTCTCATGTGATCAGAATGGAATAGTCCATTATTTATGAGATATTAGCAGGATTAAACACTTCTATTATTCTTTCTTTATTTTTTCAATGAAACCAAGTAATAGCTCTGATATGTCTCATCTTTCCATGTGATATAAACGGATAATTTCATAATTTTTGTGAAGAGACATTGACATGATTATTTTAGCTCACAATATTACAGATGGCATTGACAAAAGAGTTACTGCTTGCAAATGAAAAGGCATTGGATTTTTATGAATTGTTTTTTTTTATCTATATAGTGAATAAATTAAAATTTGTATTTCATTCTTTTTTTTGTTGTTTTTTAATTTTTTCTAGGCATGTGCTGATATAGCAAAAGTAAGCAAATTTTGCAAATGGAATGTCCTTCCTAAAACTGGATTTCCTCTACTCATCCACTCAGTGGTTGGGAAAGAACAAAGAGAAGGAAACTCTCCATCGTATTTTAACCCTGAAGAGGCATGTGTTGTGCTCCGCTACATTGAAAAGCTATATGAATATGGTGCGTCACCACAGGATATAGGTGTGATCACACCTTATTGTAAACAGGTAAGACTTTTGTTTTTGCCCTTTCACATTTATGCTGACATTACTTCAACCACTAAAATTTCTTCATTAGTATAATAATACTAATGATAATGTATATGTATATTATGTTTGTATGATAGTATCCAAAACAAAAGCAAAGATGAGACAAAGTGGAAGATTTTATTAATGATGCATTTTGCTGGAGAAGTGTATGCTCTCGGGTTAAAATGAAAGAAAGACAAAACAATGTCTGAGGAAAAGGCGTTGGGATCTCTGAGGATAAGTGGGTATCTAGATTATCACTTTCTAATATCTAAACAAAAAGAATATCTGTCCAGATGTGTTTTTGTTTGTTTTATCTATGTCTGTATCTGTATTAGAGTCATTTGGCATTGTAGGATTTTAAGTCAGTGATTGTTATATATATATATATATATATATATATATATATATATATATATATACACACACTCTTGCAAACATGTGTACATACATACATACATACATAGATACATACAAGAAGCCAAAGAGAGCATATGCATCATTAATAAGATTTTCTACTTTGTCTCATCACCTTCATATGAAGATAATTGAAAAATTCAGATATAAAGAAATGTATCTGTACAGACAAAAAAGAAAGGACAAAAGGAAAATATTTTAGGTTAACACATTTTGTTCTTAGAGGAAATTGATGACGCCAAATGTAGACATTTATTCTATATAATATTAAATATCATATATATTAAATATATTTTAATATATATATATATATGTATATAGATATATATGTGTGTGTGTGTCTTATCAGTTTGTTACTAGAAAGGATAATTCCTGAGGAGGATATAAATCCAGGGAAGGCTCAATGTAGACGACAGGGCATTATAGTGTTGATAAGTAGACAGAGACTTTAATTATCCATTTCGATTATAATTTATTTTGTGAACACTGAGGTGTTCAACTCTTCAGATTGAAATCTCCATAAATGGAGGAAATACATCAGACAGACACATTAGATTGGTAGTGGGAAGGGAAGGTGAGAGAGAAGAGATGGGTAAAGAAAGGGATAAAGGATTAGTGGTTGGTAGTAGTTGGTTCACCCAGCCAAGAATTTATTCTATAATTCTGAGATTTTTATATTAGGTTGTATTTAATTTAATGAAAGAGATCTTAATTCAAATTCAAAGAGCTGAAAACCTTGGTGTTCGCAATAATTTATAATCGAAATGGATAGTTAAAGTCTCCATCTTCTTATTATCATTATTTATATATATATATATATATATATATATATATATATATATATATAGAGATGGATACATTATCATCAAAATTATGCAAAAATGAAAATAACACTGATATCTCATTTTAATAGATAAAACATGACACAAAAATATCTTGAAATACTAAAGAGTAAATTTATTCATTAAAATTGCCATTGGCTTCAACCATGGCCTCCAGATGACTTTTGAATCTCCTGCAACTCTTCTGGATGATCTGCTTGTTTAAGTTGGTGAATGCTGTCATAATCCTGGCGTTCAGTTCATCTTTGGTGTTACAAGGAGTTTTATTGGTCTCTTGATCAACTACACCGAACACACAATAATCAAGCGGTTGCAGTCTGGACAGTTAGGTTGCCAGATGTAAGAGGTGATGTGGTCACAGAAATTCTGACAGTCATGGCTGAGTTCTGCTTTTGTGGCATCATACGGAGTCCTGTTGCCAAACATAGGGTCTTCTAGCAGTCACCATCTTGACTGAGGTTTGCACTACCTCATCAAAATATTTGATGTAGGCCTCTGTGTTGAGTCTGAGGTCCTCACCAACAAATTCAGGAGTTTTTTTCTTATCAGAACTATCAGAGTGAGTTTTCCAAGATGTCATACCTTTATAATCACCATTAGACTCATCCAACTTTTTCCAAATTCTCTTCACTTTGACACTCAAACACTCTGAAATGTTTGTATTGGAGCTTCTGGCATGAATACCAAGCAGTACAGCATGTTTTTGGAATAATAGGATAAAGAACAAATAGAAAACATGTTTCACTGTTATTAAAGCTTTATCAGAGAATGAGATATGAAGAAAAAAGAAATTCTGGAAGTTATTTTTGTGTTATTTGATTTTCATTGGTTAATCAGGTTTCATATGCATGTGTCTTGTTAAACAACATTATAATTTATGGTGTTCCAAATTCAAGGAGAGATGATGTGTCCTGTCAAAGCTCCAAGAAATTAACAGATTCCAAGTCTAACTGAAAAACTGTAAATATTGCTTTATATATGTAAGTGTCTCATAATTCTAGTTTGTCTGTGTGTGATTCAAATAATAATGTATATTTGTTATTGTGTGTATGTGTATATCTAGTAGACATGTTTGATGGTTTGTCCACATGCAAAACAGAGAATTAATAATGGTTAGAATAATGGAAAAATGTGGAAAAATTTCTTGAAGATGAAAAAAAATGGTCATCAAAATTTCTACTGTATACAGCAACCTTGTTGATGAAAAAAATGAGGGTGTATACAGTAATAGGAGTGTCAAAAATAAAACTTTTTGTTTTTGCTTGATCTTAAACTTTGCCACTCTTTACAGGTTCAAAAAATAAATATTCTTCTGCAAAAGCATAAAATGAAACGTGTTAAAGTGGATTCTGTGGAAAAATTTCTTGGAGATGAAAGAATGATTATCATAATCTCTACTGTACGCAGCAACCCTGATAATGCAGCAGATGATTATAAGAAATGCATGCTGGGATTTATCAGCAATGAAAAGGTAGGTTGTTGTTGACTTTATCTCGTATCAACACTTTTCAATTATTTCTTTCCTTTATGATAATGTTGTTGGTGACTTCATTCACTGCCAATGTGCAGGTTTAAGTCTAGAAACTTTCACTTTCCCTAAAACCAGCTCCCATAATCCATTCCCTATTGCCATTTGGTTTTGCAAGAATTGGTTGAAGGTGAAAGAAAATCAGAGTAGAAGAAAGTGTCGATGGTGTGAACTTGTTTAAGGTGGAACTCAACTTGCCATGAAGTAATGCACACACATAATTTCATGATCTTACTCTGTGGTACATATGGTATGAGGCATGCATAATCCAGTTATAAAACTGCAATGGACTGCCAGTAACTAATTTTGAGTGGTGCTTCTGTAGCATGTCCATCATGCGTAGTCCTCTTCATCCACTGGTTAAACTGTTGAGATCTGTTGTAATCATCATCTGCTCGTTCCACCATTTGGAGTCTTTGGGGTTGGTCACACTTCATCTGGGTTTTTGTCTTTGACCTTACTGCCAAGGGTTGTCCTCCCAGGAGTTTAGAACTACTTAACACTGGACCATGACAAGGAGTAACCATCAGAGGTATACACATAGAAACATTCATGCCTAGACACACATAGATATATTTTAATAAGAATTAAATGTATAAAATCATCATCAAATATATGGGAAAATTTTTTATTCTCATTGTTAAAAATATTTGAAAGACGAATAATAGAGGACAAAATTGACTATCCTGGACCAAAAGTAAAAAAAAAAACACAAAAAACAAAATAACGAAGTAAACAAAATGAAATAATGTTATGACTCCAAACACTTTTCCTACAAATTTGAAAATACTTCCTCTATAAAAATGTTAAGTTATATATTTTACAATCAATAAATAAGAAATGGATAAAAATATAAAATTATTGGCAAATATTTGAATGATAAATGATAGGGAAAGAAATCTATAATACTGAACCAATAATTGTAATATTTGCTTTACCTTTGACTAAAGGTAGGTATTTACAGTTTATTTTATTCTCTTAAACTCATATATTTACCAAATATTTTACCAAACTTTGACATTGATGCAAGTATCTGCCAGTATGAACAGCCACATTGTATTAAGGTGTTCAGAAAGTAATTCAACACTATGAAATATGAGTTGGCCATCAACACAAAACAAAGGTTGAATGGTAGGAAACTGCATCTAGAATTAGTGTATCATTTCTTCTGTTGTCTTGAATTCAGAGGTTTTCCTTCTCCTAGACTGGTTGCCACCCAAGGCTATAGAACCCAATCTCTATTGCTATTTACCCATAGCTGAGGGGTGAAGAAGATGATTCATACCTTTCCCAAGGTATAATGTATCTGACTGGAATTCGAACTCAGCTCTCCAATTCCTCAATCCAAGTCACTATGCATTACTCCACTGTGCCTCCTAAATGTTAGAAGGTAATCAAAAAAGTCCTTGCTGTTTTTGATTTATTATAAAAAAAAAGTATACAGCAAATTTTACAATCCTCAAAGTAATTCCCATCAGTATCCAGAACCTTTTGCCAATTTGTCTCCAGCTGTGTAATGCCTTGGCAGTAAAAATCAGGTGTCTTGGATACAAATAAGTCTGTGAGTGCCTGCTGCAAATCTGCCTCATTTGCAAAGGATTTCCAATGAAGGTAGCTGTCCAAACCATGAAAAAGGTCTAGGGAGCAAGGTAGATGGCATAGTGTCCCCCAGTCAAGTTGCAATATGGCATTCCTGGCCACCCGTGCCACATGAGGCTTTGCATTGTCATGGAGAAACAGTACAATGCAGACTACTTCTGCTTCAGTGCCTGTTGCACACTTCCAACTGCTGTGAGTACAGGTGTGCAGTGATGGTTTGGCCTGTTGGTAGCAACTTATAGTGTACCACTTGTCAACTAGTCTACCAGATGATCATGATCTTGCGTTGGTGTAGAGGTGGTCTTTTGGTGTTAAGCACAGGGTTCCATGGTGACAACCAATGTCTGGAATGCTTAGGAGTGTCATACAAGACTCACTTTTCATTGCTAGTGAGTACTCGATCAAATATGAGTATGTTGCAGTGCAGAGAAAGCAATGAGAAACAGGCTGTCATTCATTCTTGCTTGTTGGCTTCCGACATTGTGTGGGGTACCCACTTGCTCAATTTGTATGCTTTTCTTATGTGGTGCAGGGGAAGTGTGACTGTTAGATCAGAAACCTGGAAGCATTTGGCAAGCTCACCAAAGGTTTGGCTGTTGTCCTCTATAATCATCTTCAGGACATCATCATTCATGACCTGTGGCTGACCACTACAAGGTTCATCACAAAGGGACTGATATTGCGATCTGAACTTCTGAAATCAATGTCTGGTAGTGCATTCACTCACAGGATTATCGCTAAAGGCTTCATGTATTCAGTGATTTAATACGGCTGTGGGCAAGCCCACCTTAAAGTCATAAAACAGACAACCCTGAACAAGCAGCTTCGATACTACCATGTTTCCTCGTCAATGCTCGAGCTATGACTGATGTGTGTGCACAACACACCTGCATTGGTCAAGAAATTGCTAAATTTGTCAAAATATTGTGTTGGCTATGGCCTTGAAAATGGATTCATGGTTTTGCTATCAGTTACAAGAACATAAAAACATTATGGTTTAACTAGAAATACCAGTGAAAATTTCAAATTCAAAATTTTAATTTTCTGATAAATCTTACGTTAATGATTGAGTAAGCATATGGCCTAGTTCTACAACAATAAAATATCCATAGAAATGGTATCATTAAATATTTGAGTTTATCACTTTAACAATTGCAATAACAATCACAAATATTAATGCTAATTATTATTTTAAGAAGTAAGGAGGTACAAATGAAGATTTGATATTGACATTTTCCATTTCACTAAAAGAGACATTAAAAAATTCTATCTAGTATCTCTGATTTCATTTATGTCTTTCCACGTTATCAAATTTGGATATTTATGAAGTATTGGCAGGGCATACTGGTGGTGCTAACTAAGAGAGAAACAAGCAGAATTATAATAAGATTTTTTCTGCCCCATTCACATGAAGCTTTTATGTCTTCTCCAACCTATAATGGCTCAAATTTTATAAAACTATAAATCTTCAGTATATAAAAGAATTTTCTTTATAGCCCCCATCTCCCTGTTTTTATCTTGATTGGACCAGTCTTTTACTTCTTCCAATCCCATATTTTCTTTTGCCCCTCCCCTGCCACTAGTGAGTAAGCTTCTTGATTCTGTCTGATGGCAGAATACAGCGGTCATTGTCATTTTTGTGGGGTGGATGCTACCTTACTAGCAGTTTTAATTTCATTTAAATTGTCTAATTGAACTTTTTATTTGATTTAATTGGTTTACAACGTTTTTTATATTTCTGTAAAAAAAAATTAAAATTGTATATATATCATGGGTTCCCTGTGAAAACGAATTATTTTGGTGCATGTTTGAACCAAATAGTGAAAAATGAGTATTTATGATGCTTGCATTGCATCAAGTGTTAGAATGGATGGGTCATGAATCAAACTAGCTAGGAGCAGGATAGTTACTGATGATAACCTCTTCCCCTTTCTCCCCGTTTCTTTTGTTTTATAGACAAAATTTATGTCTGATTACTCTAAGTGCCACTGGTACCTTGTAACTCAATACAGCTTGGTTAGGTTATCAGTGACTAAACCAGTTTCCCCACCATGCTTTTTGTTGAGATGGGTGGCTAGCAGAAGTAATAAGATCTGTCAAAGGGCAGATGAACCTTCTTGTAGGGTCAATGGCCATCTAGCACAATGGAGTAGACTGAGGGCCCTGTAACTATGAATGCAACCAGTGCAGTAATAACATGACATTGCTGGGTTGAAGGTTTCCTAGATTGAAATCAATGTCCATATGTCCCATGACTAAGGGAAGCCTTCAAGTTGAAGGCCATCAACTGTGGTTTGACCTGGAGAGGTGGGGCTCTGCCAGGTCTACTTGCCCAAGATATGCTACACATGAATGAATACCTGTCCAGCTTTTGACCAGGATATGTAGAGAGAACTGTGCAGCAAAGTTACTGTAAGGAATCTCGATAAAAAAAAATATGAAAATAAAATATATAAACAAAAATTAAAAAAATAAAAGGTGGATATTATCAAGGATCTCTAAATATATAGCGGGAGCACCAGACTATATGTGGCAACTATATTCTAAGAAATGATGAATGGTAGATTTATTAATATGTAAGATAAATTTGGTTGAGAAAAATTGTGTCACACAACACAGAAAACCAACTTTCCTAGCAGCAGACCGAGCAAATGATTCAATACAAACATTAATGTACCTAAGTGTTCCTAAGTGTTTTTTCTTATGAACAAAATGTATAGTTAAAAAATTTGGATCTTAGGATGAGTTTGAAATCTCTGTTACCAGATTGTTATTATTTACAGGAAAAATTTTTTCAATGCAATAATTTGTATATATTCAGTCTAATTTTTTTCTTGCAACTTTTATTAATCATCAAATATTCTCTGACCGCCAGTTTATATGACATTTTTCTTTTGTAGCGTTTGAATGTGGCCATCAGTCGTCCTAAGGCTCTTCTCATCATCATTGGAAATATACATTGCCTTCGTACTGATGCACTTTGGGACAGGTGAGTTTTCCATTAATATCTGTTTTATCAGACCCCAATATGGAAACATTCCAAACCTCATCATGAGTATGACTAGGGGTCCTGGGTTTGACAATAAATTACATCAGGCAGCAAGGTCTGTGATTGGGAGATAGGAGGTTTTGAGGAACATGGAACCAATTGTTAATTTTTGTTGTTCCCATATCCACTCTGATTTGGTGTGGTAACACCTGTTAGGGTCCCAGGTATGGGTAAATAGTGAACCCCCAAACAAAACACTATGAAAGTATAAAAATACATTTTTATAGTAAAAGTATCAGCAATACATTTTTATATAAAAAATTACCAACAATACATTTATAGTAAAATTACCGACTATATGCACAGACTAACAAATTATAGTGACTTCAACCAAATCCATTTAAAATACTACCAAACACCAACATTAAAGAATTTTCATGACATTAAGCCAATGATATCCGAGAATTTCTTAAATCAAAATGTATTCCAAAATATAACTTCAACAAAACTACAACACATAACTGCCTCTAGTAATCATGACCACACAAACATTTATATGCACAAAAGCTGAGTATCATCTACCATGTATTCAGTTGTGAAAGCAGAATAACCTTTTTATTACTTCCAAGCTTCCAAGAAAATTAAATTTTGGCATTAAATGACTCATAAAGAGTTGATATGCCATTAAACAGACAAATCAAGAAGAAATGAGAGCCCCAATCTATTCAATCTCTTCCTAGATTATGCACTGTACATATACAAGTAAAAATGGTAAGAGATGGGCACAGATCATTTAAGCATCCCATACTATATCCCAAATTAAACTACTAATACTACTAAGCACTCCTGCTTCCCCTACTGAAGTTATTGAGGGGAGATATGCTGATGACATAGGTATTCATAGATGGAACAAAAAAATCAACATTCTTTACCAAGTATTCTAAAATGTAGGACTCAAACCTTTTCAAACCAGAATCCACAATGTGGAATTGGAATGAAAGCAGTGATGGCACCTATGCTGAATCCATCATAAAAAAATTCAGGATATGGAATTAGTAAATACTAAACACTTCAAGTACCTTGGTGTATGGATCAGTTATAACAAATTTAGTATAGGAGATAAGTAAACTGAATATAATATTAGTATCATTTTTATTTGCCAGTCATAATTTACTGGCAATCTGGTGTTAGGCAAGATATTTAGTCATTTCTCACTCACCAGATACTAATATTAGCATTAGTATCAATAGATACACTAACACTGAATAAATAGAAATGAAAGACGAGATAAATACCTGTACACAATTAAACAAGAAAGTTACAATGATCCACATGTGTCCCAAAACAGGTGAATGTATGCATTGCTCCAAGAACAAGTTGTGCTAGGTGTAGTCTCGCTTAACAGCACAAGCTGCTGCAAAACCAAAACATTTAAACTAAAATCTTTAGTCATGTTTTTAAATCACCTCATCAGTCAAGACTTTCATATGGATGTTATGCATGGTGACAAACTCATTCAGAATTATCTAAAATCTTGGCTCTATACAACACTCTCAGAAAAATATACTTTATTTTTGAAAAAAATTTTAATGAAGAGAATTATGTTGTATTTGTGCCAAGAAACAAAACACGTTTTTTAGCTAATTTGATGGTGCTGATTCCAAAAATGACCTTTAGTTTTTTATGGTTAGCTACCATTTTTGCTGTACTGAAAATGTTCATTTTTTGGAAAAAAGATCAATTTACAATCTTGGCTGATCACAAAATTTAGTTAATAAAGGTTGTAGAAACCCATTAATTTTCAGGTAGGCCATACAATTTATGTCAGACACCTAAAATAAACAATTTTTATAAGAAAAAAAGTGTTTCTGATTGAAAAAAATTTAAAATAGAAGTACCAATTTTTTCCAATTTATCGACAAAATTCAAAATAACTGATAAACTTTATCAGTAATACACTTTTTAATTGATAATTAAGGTGACTATTGTGAATATGGATTATCTCCTCTTCGATAATCCAAGCTATAAAAGCTGTACATTTCTGCTTGTCAAGTAGACGAGTAGTAAGATTCTTAATTGAATAAAAGATTACTAGACAGAATCTCTTGTCCTGTTTTCATTACAATTTATTCAATTAAGAATGGAACAATTTATGCGACCGGAGTGATTTACCACAGATCCAGAAAGTGATTCAGCCAACAAGTGCTGGAAACATTGGCGGGAGACATTTACAAATTTCATCGAGGTTCTACATTCAGAAAGACCGGGACGTCCCATCAATAAGCGTGCTCCTAACCAACTACCTGTCTCACACAGTCAACGAAATTATCTCGGATTGCGTTACCTACGAAGAATCAATCGATGTACTGAATGCTACATACATAAAGCCCAAAAATGAGATATTTTCTAGACACCTACTTTCGACTCGCCAACAAGAATCAGGCGAAACATTGGACCATTTCCTTAAGAGCCTTCGGACACTGAGCAAAGATTGCAACTTCTGCCCAATGACGGCATTAGAGGCTCAAGAGCAACACATTTTGGACGCCTTCATTAACGGCTTACGTAATACTCAGATAAGACAATGTCTTCTTGAGAATAAGACCCTTACACTTAGAACAGCTTACGAGCAAGCCTATATCTTCAAAAGTGCTATACAGCAGTCTAGTTCTTATTTACAGCCAGACACCGTGGGTGCCGCATTAAACTCACCTGTTCCTACTACCCCCCTCAAGAACAATTGGTCACTGCCGCTTTAAAAAGGGAAACCTGCTATTTTTGCGACTTATCTAAACACCTACAAGTTTCATGCCCTGCCAGAGATACTCGTTGTCATAAATGTGGAAAACTTGGTCATTTTTCAAAGGTATGCAAGTCTTCTAAAACTCTATACAAAGCCACTCGTCAAAATACATCTGCAACTTTAGCCGCCTCCTCCTACTGCCTTTCAAAAACTATTGTAAAAGTGAAAATTAACGAGAGGTCTACAAATGATCTGCTTGATATCGAGAACTCAGAAATTTTATCAAAGAAAGCTTGGTAAAAACCAACAAATTGTATTTTGTCCCCTCCCCCAGCAGAGTCATTGGCAAACGCGTCATTGTCTGCGCAAGTAAGTGGTTATTGTTTGGTGGACTTACTATTTAATGACATCTCCTATAAAACCACTAAATTATCCGTAATGAAAAACCTTTGTTGCGAAATAATACTGGGACACGATTTTTTGCAGCAACACTCACAGATTGAAATTCCGTTTGGCAGTTCAATGCCCGCATTGAAAATTTGTGGATTGGCAACAGCAAAAATCCAGTACCCATCACTTTTCGAAAACCTAACTGAAAACTGCAAATCCATAGCAGTGAGAAGCAGACGTTTTTCTTATAATGATAAAAATTCATCGACTCTGAGATAAAAAGACTACTCGAGGAGGGTATAATTGAGCCTAGCAAATCACCCTGGAGGGCTCAGGTAGTTATGACCACTTCTAAAAACCATAAAAAGAGAATGGTTATAGATTACTCCCAAACCATAAATAGATTTACTCTTTTGGACGCCTTCCCACTACCCAGGATGGATGAAATGATAGGCGAAATAGCCAAATATCATATGTTTAGCACTCTGGACTTGAAAAGCGCGTACCATCAGATCGCCATTAGAACTAGAGACAAGCTATATACTGCTTTCAAGGCAAACGGTCGATTATATCAATTTCGCAAGATTCCTTTTGGCGTTACGAATGGGGTAGCCAGCTTCCAAAAGATAGTTGACCAAATCATAACGGATGAAAAACTGGAAGGCACATTTGCGTACATTGATAACGTCACAGTATGTGGCCATAATAGAAAGGAACACGACGAAAATCTCAGACGGTTCATGTCCACCGTTGACAAATACAACCTTACCCTAAATGACGACAAATGCTCGTTTGGACTGGACAAAATAAACCTACTTGGGTATACCATAAGCAAAGGTTTTATGGCACCGGACGCAGATCGATTGAAACCTTTACTCCAGATGCCTGTCCCTCACAACCAGCCTTCCCTTCGACGTGCTATGGGCATGTTTGCTCACTACTCCCAATGGATTGCTTCGTTCTCAGAAAAGATACATCCATTAACACAAGTAGAGACATTTCCACTGTCCCGTCAAGCCGTTGAGGCATTCGAGGGACTGAAAAAGGATATTGCAAAATCTGCAAATACAACAATAGACCAAAATATTCCTCTGGTTGTTGAAACGGATGCTATTGCTGCTTCTTTGAGACAAGCTGATCGTCCTGTAGCCTTTTTTTCAAGGACCCTCTCACAGGCTGAATGACGACACCCCACAATTGAAAAGGAAGCCTACGCCATAGTCAAGGCATTAAGAAAATGGCGACACTACCTGATCGGACGCCACTTTAAACTTATTACTGACCAGAAATCAGTTGCTTTTATGTTCAATTCTAAGACTACAAGTAAAATAAAGAATGAAAAAATAGCGAGGGGGAGAATTGAACTATCTTGTTTCTCCTTTGACGTCAGCTACCGACCTGGCAAGGAGAACTTAACAGCTGATACACTGTCAAGAGTATGCTGTACGGCATCAAGCGGGGACGAACTCTGAACGCTACATGAGAATCTCTGTCACCCGGGCATTACTTGAATGGTTCATGCTGTGAGGTGTAGAAACTTGCCTTTCTCAGTGGAGGAGGTAAAAAGAATTACAAATTCCTGTCGAACGTGTGCTGAAATAAAGCCTCGGTTTTATAAACCCAAAACTGGCGTTTTAATAAAAGCAACACAACTGTTTGAAAGACTCAATCTTGATTTTAAAGGACTACTACCAAGCAAAATAAGGAACCGATATATATTAACGGTTGTCGACGAATATTCACAGTTTCCTTTTGCCTTCCCTTGCTCAGACATATCGGCTGCTGCAATTATACAATGCCTCTGCTCACTATTCACCATCTTTGGAGCCCCTGCCTATATAGATTCGGACTGAGGGGCTTCTTTCATGTCAGAGCAGCTTCGACAATTTTTACAGGAACGAAGACTAGCTATAAGCCGGACAACTCCCTACAACCCTAAGGGTAACGGCCAATGCGAAAGATATAATGGCATTATTTGGAAGACCGTTCAATTGGTTGCCTCAAATAACGGATGTTCGATTGATAATTGGGAAGATCTCCTTCCTGTCGCATTATACGCCATTCAATCCCTATTGTGTACCGCCACGAATGCCACCCCACACGAAAGGTTTCTATCTTTTTAGCGACGGAGTTCGGCGGGAGCTTCGCTTCCATCTTGGCTCTCTCGACCCGGTACTGTGTTTCTGAGATGACATGCACATTCATTACACCAAGAACGATCCCTTGGTGGACAAGGTAGAGCTTATAGAGGCGAACCCCCAGTACGCTCTAGTACGACATGCAGATGGTAGAGAGTCTAATGTGTCTTTCAGGGACCTAGCACCGGCCGGAAACGTACCCGGACAGTGGATAGCCCCTGAGGATAGACCAACTACCCCTGACACTGAAGCCCCACCGGAAGATCATGGCACTGAAATTGCTCCTGACATGTCGTCTAATGACACTGTCTACGTTGAGGCCCCGTCAGACACTTCGGATGGGCCAACACCTGAATCCCTGACAGATGAAGGACTAGCACCGACAAAACGTGTTCATCCAGAGACTGACTCTGATGTGGAACGGCCTGCTCCTCTGAGAAGGAAACATTTCGGAGCAAGGTATTTTATTTGGTGGGGGAGAATGTTGTGAATATGGATTATCTCCTCTTTGATAATCCAAGCTATAAAAGCTATAAACATTTTCGCTTGTCAAGTAGACGAGTAGTAAGATTTTTAATTGAATAAAAGATTACTAGACAGAATCTCTTTTCCTGTTTTCATTACAGTGACATCAAAATAAGCACATTGAGAGCATTTTGTTTTCACAGTTGGAAAGAAACTCCAACTAAAGACAATCCCAATTGAATGCACCTATTCCATACGATACTGCTGGAGTATCAAAAGGGACTTAAATATCATTGAACATGACAATCAACAAAGAGAAAATATTTACCATAGTTCTTATGTTCAAGAAGTTTAATTTTCTGCTGTTAAATGATTTGATGAAAATACTTGTTGGTCTTGTTATATTAAAACGTGTTATTTTTAAAGACTTAGAGTCTGATTGTTATTGTTATGGCTAAAATAGTATTTCTCAATAAGCAGACCAATATTTCTTGTTTTAAATACGAATTGAGAGGTTTCTACGATTTTATTTTGTGAAATATTGCCACGGTCAATGTACAGAAAAATGAAAAAGTAAGGCACTTCTGTACAGCAAAAACGGTAGCTAACCAAGAAAAAGTAAGGTCATTTTCAGATTCAGTGTCCACAAATTAGCTAAAAAAAAGATGTTTTGTGTCTCGAGACCATTTCAAAAATTTATTTTTTGATCAGTGTAATCTGCGTGTAACATATAGTTTTCATCTGTTTTTCGTTTCAAGGGAGATTACTCTAAAACTTACTTATTTTTAAAGTTATATCCCTTTACTCTCGAGTTTGTAATATTCATAACTTTGTGCTTATGAATTAAAAAAAAGATATTCCCCCACTTACAAAAATAAAAATAAAATCAACTTTTTTATATCTTCATAAAATTATTATATTTATATCCTTGTTACTAGATGCATCAACAACAAGATTCTTATACTTCATTGAAGAAAAGAATGATTTGCATATTCCATATAAAATTAAGTGACATCAGATGACACTTAGATTGCATTTTTTTATTTAACAATTTGGAGCAGATTTTCGAGAAATGAGTAGTTTGGAAAAAAAAATTATGATTTACATTCTCCAAGGAGTCCTGCTTCTAAGTAAAAAAGAAAAATCAGGATGAATAATTAAATTTCTCGAAATTTCATGAAATTAAGTGGTGGGTAACATATGTAAAAAAGAAATATTTTTTTACCAAGATTTTCTAAAACAAAAACTTTCAAAAATAATTTAATTCCTTTGTGAATAAGTCCTGAATTATTTGATTTTGCAAGAATTTCCAATTCAATGTGTTTTACACCTGAAAAATACAGCATAGCATTATGAAAAAAGGTCACAAACCTAATAAAAACAATGTTTTATCATGAAAATGTTTGTTATTATTAAGAGGAAAGACTAGTATTATTAGTATTTTTTTATTAATTTTTTTAAATCCTTTTTAGCAGTTTGAATTTTTTTGCATTAGCGGTCGACATAATATTTATGATTAGTGTTTTAGCACCAAGATTTTTGATCAAAATTTCAAACTGCTAGACGGTATTAAAAAAAATTAATAAAAAATACTTTTGTCTTTCCTCTTAATAGTAACATAAAAATTTTGATGATAAAACATTGTTTTTATTAGTTTGTGGCCATTTTGCATCATGCTATGCTGTTTTTTCAGTGAAAAAGTGGAGGTACCTATATTAAATACAGTATTTGTATTGGGAGATTCAAAAACGTTTTGTTTCTTGGAATTAGCAGACAATTCTGTCCAAGATTAGGCATTCACATTGTGTAAAAATCTTTTAATTTCTTTTATAAGATTTATTAAGGACATTAAATTTTCAATAAACAATTTTTACAAGAATTGTTTTGATTTTTTAAAAAATTTTAATTATAATAATTTTTAAAAAATCTTAAAATTCTACATTAATTTCATCTCGTTAGGTGATATTGTTATTAAGTGAAAACTACATTTACTAATCAAAAATTGAAAAGCTTAATACAAATCATTTTGCATCAAGATTTTTAAAATAATTTTAAATTTATTTTAAGATATTAAGTAACGTACTCATTTTTGAAAGTATGGTTGACCATACGTGACATTATCAGGAAATAAGAGTGATGACTATAGTAAGTTTAAAATCAACATTACTAAAATCAGATTACGAAGAATATTTTCCAACAATTTTAAGATTACTGATTATTAAGAATTATATAAAAAAAAGCACTCACCTGTCCTTTTCTTAAATTATGTTTTAACAGCTAAAGTCTCCATAGAACAACAATAATTTATCATCACTCATCAGTTATGTAAGAATGGTTGCTGTCAGTTAAAAATAAACATTATTGTTTGTTTTAAAAATCCATTTCTGTGTTATTTTAAACTTAAAGTAAATAATATTTTTTTCAAATCAGATTAATTGTACTTTAAAGTATAAATTAATCTGATTTGAAAAAATAATCCTCATTCCTCACAGTTTCAGAAAAGCATATTTTATTTTTGGAGGATTTTTTAATACAGAGAATTATATTGGGATGAAAGACGACTAAAAAAGTGCACTAATTTATAAAAAAATATAATTTCTGTTTGAAATACACCAGAGTATTTTTCTTATTGGGAATGATAAATTAATCTTTTAGCTTTCAATTAAAGCTAAAATGAAAGCTCAAGAAAGCTTTTTCTTTCATTTATAAAAATTAATTTTTAAATTTAGGTATTGAAACTTAGTGCATTTGATGACAAATAAAAATAAAATCCGCCTCGATTTACATTTAATATTATAAGATTAGGTGTGAGGGAGTGTTGCTAGATTTGGCTAGAAGAAGCATCAATTGAGAGATTTGTTTTTTATGTCTTATCAACACTTTGTGGATTATTTAAAGCTGAAAAAATTAAGCAAAAATACTTACAAATGAGTGACTTGTACTTACAGATTGCGACATCTATCAGAGATGAAATTTAAATTTTTATTATTGCATTATTCCAAAATTTTAACACATCAGCAAATAGCTATTAATATCAACAACTGAGCACAAATTGTTGTTAATTAAAAAAATTAGTAATTAATGCATATTATCCATAACTACGTATACAAGAATGTCGTTTTTGATAAAAATTAAAAAAATAACCATAAATACGTAAAAAATGCGTATATTATCAAAAATTCCTTTTTCCACAATATAGCTAATTTGTGTTATGTTAATGCTTATTACCTAAACAATAATGTTTAGGTAATAAGTGAAACAATAAACAATATGTGAATAAATTTTTTTTTAAACATTAAAGTATATTTAATCACATCTCCCTAATAGCTGTCATGATCTGTTAGTTGTTCTATACAGTCTTCAAGATTTTTACTAATTTATTTGTTATTTTCTTTTCTATTTTCATTAGACTCAAGCAATTAAATACTAATTTTTGCATAAAAATTAAGCAACTTGAGTTGTCTATTGGTTTAAAAAAAATATTTAGAATTCTAATTTTCTTAAATAAAAAAAAATTGTGTAATTTAACTTTTCATAAGACGCAATAGACATTTATATACTATCAATCATGGTATATGTTTCTTTAAATTAGTTTGTTAGCGAACGTAAGAATAAAGTGTGCTGTGTAAAAGAAAGAAAAAACCAAAATTCATGGTGGCGGAGATGATAATGGGGAGATAATTCTTAATTTTGTTTGTCAGTCACAAGTTAAAAACCAAAAAACAGTTACCAACCATATATAAAAATATAATTTTGTTTTGTTCTTTTCATTTCAGACTGATAACATATTGTACAAATAATGGAGCCATAAAAGCTGAAAATTTGACTGAAGCCATGAAGTATATCTAATCATGAAGAAGACATCATAAAGTCTCAATTGCAAGCCTTCTTGTAACCAAGCAGTCAGCAAATATGTTTTTTGTTATTTACCTCCTAACCCCTCATGACTATTTGCAGGGATGATGCCCAAACTTTACAAACACTCATATAATTATAAGTTAACATTACCTGAAATAGAATGTCATTTATATAGCTTTTAAGATAGGAAACAGAATTTTATCTGCATTGTATTATGACAGTTTCTTCAGAAGCACACAAACATAGAACAGGAAAATTCGGTAACGGAAGATTTGGTATATTGACAAAGTAGGAAAATTCGGTAACTATGAAATAAAAGCCAATTGAAAATTGATTTTTGGGCCGTTCTGGAGCAGGGATTTGGGGTTTAGCATCCTGCTACCACTTTTTTTTTATCAATGTCAATTATTGTGCAAATCTGTGCAAAAAGTGGATCACAGAGCCTTGATATTTTTATAACTTCTCATTGGTCAGTTAATATTAAAATCATTTTCTTAACTACGTCCGAATAGCATCGACCAGTTCCTGACCTGATGAAAAAATAATTCCACCCAAAATCTGTCAATGCCTTTTGGAGCCTATCATGTGATTACATTGATTATAAATACCAGACACAAGTTTGTTTTTTCTCTCTTTTGATTTCTCTTGCTTCCGAAAATGTAGCTGTTAAAGAAATTGCGTTTTGACCCCTTGTGGGTGGACGCTATGAAAACATATTTACACACGCACACATATACGTACACACAAAAGTTAATTAAAAACATTACGGAACATTCACTCCTTCAACTCTTCTGAAGCAAAAAGTAAATCAACATATACAAACAAACACACTCTTTCACAGTGAGACAAAAAAAAGTCAACCAGAAACATCGCTGCCATGCAAAAGAAATTTAACTTGGAGATTACAGTTTTTTCCAATTCTTCACCGGCAAGAAATTACTTAAAAAATGGTCATCTGAAGCTACAAGTTTATCAACCATATTTTCAGCTTTTTGAGAACACAATTCAAGAAACTTTCTCACTTGGTTTTATTCAACGGAATTTGCTCTTTGGTGAACATTTTCTTTTAGCAACAAGATTTATTGTAATTATTTTCAGAAGTACAAAAACTAAATTTCATTTAGTACCAAATAGAAATTTTTTGAAATATTAAGTAATAATATAAGTTCCTTTTTTACCAAACACATTCTCACAATACTCATATTACAGAATTTTTGAGTGGCAAGTTCATTCATTTTATGAGCTCAGATAAAAAATGAATTCCATTAGTATAGACTTTAATTACAGTCCAAGGGGAGTAATCCCTATACTTGTACATCATTATATAAGTATAAATATTGTTTATAAAACCATTTTGTGTTCCTTCTTATTTCATATTTTGTGGTATTTTGCGTTAAATATAAATTCGAGAGGTCACACCAGCTAACCGGCTTCTACAGGGGGATAACTCCCCTCCCATATATTAAATAACTGGAAATCGTGGGGTCCAGATAAAACCCCACTACAACAATACCAGGGTTGTACTTGCAGAAGGGAGGCTAAGCATCCTTCCCCAATAATTTTTAAAAAGTATTATTAACTATGTGGGTCTAGATAAAACCCCCACTACAACAATACCAGCCAACCCCACCACCACCACCACCATCACCACCACCACCACACCATATGTTTAAATAAGTAATTAACTAAAAATAATCATGGGTTCCAGTCCAGATAAAATCCCATTGCAACAATACCATGGCTGTACTTTCTGGATGGGAAGGTTTAAGAGTCTACCTCCTATTTTTAAATAAGTATTTAATTACTATACTCTATTGTTTTCAAGCAAATAAAATCGATTTATTCTTTTCAAATAATTATTTTGATAAAAAAGTAGTAAATAAATTGTTTTAGATAGTTATTTCTTTTTAAAGAAGCAAAAATTATATATCCTCATTTCTGTTTCAGGAATGTAGAGGAGGGATCTTAGCCCCCAAATCCCCACTCCAGTACAGCCCTAAAATCAATTTTCAATAGTTACTGAATCTTCCTACCTTGTTAAAATTACAAAATTTTCCATGACTGAATTTTGCAGGCACCGGATAAGTTAGCAATAGAAATAAATGATAAATCCCACAAGTCAGCAACTAAAAGGTAACACAAAGAATTTAAACATTTCAATAAAACCATATCTAGGTTATCTTGTGTCCTTTTTTTTTTTTTTTTTTAAATTTTGATGAAATTGCTCAGTGTTACTGTCATATCAGATTTGATTGATTAACCCTAGCGGTCCCATAATTTTTTTTTCTTTTTCTGCTTTTGACCCCATAGCTGCACAAATATTTTTGCTTTTAGTTTTGCTCCATCACAACTATTACCAGGGATGCTGTTACTCCAACCAAAACTTTGCAGATGTTATAGTTATATAACACATTACCTGAAATAGAATCAAACTCAGATTATGACGGTAATCTACAGAAGAAACACTCTTCATGAGAAGTTTAGTAAAACAAGCAAATCATACAAAAAAAGAAATAATGAAATTGAAAAGATAGCATAAGGAAATAGTATAAACATTTTTTTAACTCTATTTGATTACGAAGCACAATTTGATTGACTAAACAAAGCATTATGTCAAAGTGTCCTGCTTTGCTAAAGTAAAGTTAAATGGAAAAAGTGTTATTCTCTAACATAACATTATTACAAGGGCACACTTTGCAAAACAAACCCAAGAAAAAATTAAGATCTTTAGGGTGGGAGGGAACCGGTAATAAATTCACAAGTAGCCGGTAATAAATTATTAACAGGAAAAAGTCGCAATTTATGGTGGCCAGTAATAAAGTCATATATTTCTGTTGGATAAGTCAGAAAAAAATTTGCTGGAAAAAAATGTATTATTTTGTGGTAGCCATAAAGTCATCTATTTTTGTCAGTTACTTTGTGAGTTTATGTGTCTGATTTACTATGAATTTTTGTTATAAACAAAGCAATCTAACCTCTAAAAAAAGTTTTTCTTATAATGCTACAATCACATATTGGATATATTTCATAGTTAGGGAGTCCTAGTATCCTATAAGACCTGACTTTATGTGAAGAAAGTCTCAATTTGACATTCAAATTTGAATGAAAAGTTCTTTGAATTTGTTTTTTATGAGACTGGGATTTTGTCCACTTTTGGGATAAGAGGCTGGGATTTTGTCCGCTAGGTGCTAACCTTGTCCTGTTTCTTTTTTTTCATGTGACTTTTTTCCTGTAACTTTTTTCTGTTCCTTTTTTTTAACTGGATTCAGAGGTTTTTCCACATCTTCAATACCAGAATTAGCACCTTCAGATTTTCTCTTGTTTTGATCATGAGAACATTTGAGGTAGAAAATTCAGAAACAAAGTTGAAAACTTTCTTTTTTTTTGTGAGGAGGACCCCAGATTTCTTTAATCATGGAACTGAAAATTATCCATCCTGTTGGGTACTTGAAATATAGCTTCATAAGCTTTGAAAGTAGTAATAAAAACCTTACAGCTCTGAATTGTATTTTTAAAATTTTCTAGAGAAGCACACTATTTTCCATGGGATAGTAAGACAAACAAGTTGCACAAAATGGCAGCTATAAAAAGATAAACTGAAAAATGAAAAAAAAATCTTGATCTGAACTGCTTATGCTTCTTTTGCCTCTTAAAAATTAAAAAAAATAACAAAAACTAAGTTTTTATTGGCTGCATGGCAGTCTCACATTTTTTAGAGAGTCTAATTTTACCTGAAATACGGTTATCCATTTAACAGTGCCCAAAATTTTGATTTTCCCCCCATCCGAGGTAATTAATCTCTACATAATGACTGCTAATCTAACTGGTTATTTTGTTGACATACATAATATTCATAACCAGGGCCAGAGAGTCACCCAGGGTGCCATCATGGCTAACGGAACTATCATGATGTAATGTCATGTCTTTGGGATCTTCCAAAACTAAAACTTCTAAAAAAACATACTTGCAGTCGTCCACGACTGAAAAAAGACTAAATTCTTTGGCTATTTTGTCAATAGAAAATGATCTCATAAAGGAAATAGATTTAGAAAGTACCATGAAAAGATTTGCTGATCTAAAGGCTAGAAAAATGGTTTTATAGAGCAATAAATGTTTTCTTTAGTGTGTATTAAGTTGCATATTGTAATAAACTCGTTATTCTACTTTTTCAGTTTTCTCCTTGTGAAAATCTAAAAAAAATTATACTATAGTCATCACTGTTCATATCATTCGACAAGCTCAATTCAACAGGCCCTGAAAAAAGTAACAATTTATTTTTTTAAAATCTGAAATACTAAATGGTAATGATTTATAAGTAATATATATTCAATAATATTGCATTAATAATAATAATATTGCATTAATTTTTAATTGGAACTTTTATAAATTACTAAACAATTCAAAATTACTGATTTCTTTTCCAAAAATAACACATGTATTTTACTGGATATGAAATCTTTCATGTTAATTTTTCAAAAAATATAAAACTTTAAATTTTATATTGTTTGAACCTACAGTGCATTAAGTCCATTGCTTGACATGTATTTGCTATATAATGTTAGGTCTATGTAAATAATATCCATTACTGAATTAAATGCATGGACAAGGAAGGAGATTCTGTTGAAAATTTGTTATGTAAAATAAATACTTTTTAAAACATTAGGCTGATGACTATGTCTGTCTTTAAAATATATGAGGTGTCAGAGTTTATACATAAATATGGGAACATTTTTTTACATATCAAGAACAATTTTAGGAAAATCAAAAATAAAGTGAAAATTTTTTGTTTAATGCATTTCATCCCTTAAGACATCATTGGATTAAAGTAATGTTTACATTGATGTGATTACATATATGTATGAAGGAGAGGGGATGCTGAAATTTTAAATTTAAATATTTAAATCTTTTTTTTTTTTTAAATATGTATTTTGG